GATCTTCCTGACCCAGGAATCAAACCTGGGGTTTGCAAATGCAGGGGTCTCCTGCATTGCAGGTGTATTCTTTACCAGCTGAGCTATTAGGGAAACCCATATGAAGGGACAAGATAAAACCCCAGAAAAACAACTAAATGAAGTGGAGGTAGGCAAGCTTCCAGAAACAGAATTCAGAATAATGATGGTGAAGATGATCCAGGATCTCAGAAAAACAATGGAGAAGATGCAAGAAGTGTTTACCAAAGACCTACAAGAACTAAAGAACAAACAGAGATGAATGATACACTAGAAGGAATAAATAGCAGAATAACTGAGGCAGAAGAACAGATAAATGACATGGAGAAAGAATGGTGGAAATCACTGCCACACAACAGAATACAGAAAAAAAAAAATGAAAAGAAATGAAGACCTCTAAGAGACCTCTGGGACAACATTAAATGAGTGAACATTTGCATTATAGGGGTCCCAGAAGGAGAAGAGAGACAGAAAGGACGTGAGAAAATACTTGAAGACATAATAGCTGAAAACTTCCCTAACATGGGAAAGGAAATATTCAACCAAGTCCAGGAAGCACAGAGTCTCAAGCAGGATAAACCCAAGGAGGAACACACCAAGACACACAGTAATCAAACTGACAAAAACTAAAGACAGAGATAAAATATGAAAAGCAACAAGGGAAAAAATGACAAATAACATATAAGGGAACTCCCATCAGGCTATCAGCTGATTTCAAAACAGAAACTCTACAGGCCAGAAGGAAATGGCACGATATATTTAAAGTGATGAAAAGAAAAAAAAAATTAAATTGATGAAAAGGAAGAACCTACAACCAAGAATACTCTACTCAGCAAGACTCTCATTCAGATTTGATGGAGAAATCAAAGGTTTCCAGATAAGAAAAAGTTAAGAGAATTCAGCACCACCAAACCAGCTTTACAACAAATGCTAAAGGAACTTCTCTAGGCAGGAAACATAAGACAAGGAAAAACCTACAGAAAATAAACCTGAAACAATTAAGAAAATGGTAACAGGTCATACATAATTACCTTAACTGTAAATAGGATTAAAAGTGCCAACCAAAACACATAGACTGGCTGGGTGGATAAGAACATGTGCATGAATGCACTTCCACTTACCACATCACTCTGCTTGACCCCCAAGTAGTATGTAATTATTTTATATTGTTAAGTTACTCATGTTCCCATTATGGATTGCAATTGTAATTATCTTTTATTTTTTTGTCTGGGCTACTGATTGTGAAAACTGATAAACATCTTTCACTACTGTAAATAATAATAAGCAATCAGGGTTTCCCTGGTGGCTTAGACAGTAAAGAATCCACCTGCCAATGCAGGCGATGTGGGTTAGATCCTCGGGTCAGGAAAATCCCCTGGAGAAGGGAATGGCAATCCACTTCAGAATTCTTACCTGGAGAATCCCATGTAGACAGAGGAGCCTGGTGGGCTACAGTTCATGGGGTCACAAAGAGTTGGACATGACTGATCAACTAACACTTACTTAAGCAACCAAATTAAAAAGAGAGAGAGAAAAAAAAAGTTCTTGTGGAACTTCCCTGGTGGTCCAGTGGTTAAGACTCTACTCTCCCACTGCAGGGGGAACAGGTTCCATTCCTAGTTGGGGAACGAATATTCCCCCATGTGGCATGGCACAGTCAAATAAATAAATAAATAAATAAATAAATAAATAAATAAAAGTTCTTGTGCTCTGATTGGTAGGGGGGAGTTGGTTTTTTTTTTTGGGGGGGTGGAGTTGGTTTATTGGTACATGAGTCCACCTTCTCCCCAGATGCCTGGACTCCTGAATAAAGCAAACTTTCCTTTCCTACTAACACTCATCTCTGGAGTATTGACTTCCCAGCGGTGAGTAGCTGAACCTGAGTTCAATAACACTACCTTCTTAGTTCAAGCCATCATCTCTTCCCTGGAAATTGTAGCCTCCTAAGCATCTGCCTGTTCCTTTTCTGCCTCTTTCCTGCATTTTCTTCTGTCTATTGCCATTGATGTGATCTTTTAATTATGCAAATTATGCTTTGTCCATCTTCTGATCTAAGCCCTTTAGTAACTTCCTATTTATTTTCAAATAAAATCTGCCCTTTCCCCCATGTGATACTTTATTCAGGCAAAGATCAGCAATGGCTGCTACAACCAGGGGGTGAGAGATGAGATGGTTGGGGAACAGTGGCAAAGTCTCACTGCTCAGATTACCAAGAAGAAAATGTACTTCTAGAGTGAGCTCTGTCAGTTAGCTCCTTGATCAGGTGGCCAAATTCAGGATCATAATAGTGGGACTATCTCCAGATGTGATGCAGTTGAAGTCTTCAATATCACCAGGGAAAAGTTCTTACCAGAAATGCTCAACCTCAGTTTATTCCAACTTCAGGCTCAATTTCCATTTTATAGGCAAACGGGGGTAGTGGAAGACACTGTAAACACCATGAGGAAATAATCAGAAATCCAGAATGTGGGACTTTCTACTGGAAACTGGTCTGAACTCAGGGGAAAAACCAACAACATAATTTGGAAAAAAGTGTCTGTGTCTGTATCCTATATTAAAGAGAATAAAGAAAAAAAAAAGGATAAAGAGACAGGACAACCAAATACAATGCATGAAACTTGATTGACTTCTGGTTGAGATTAAAACAAAATACTTGTGGGTCTATTGGGAAAATCTGATTTCTGAATAAATATGAAATAGAGACTGGATAAACTTTCTTAGAGGTGAAAATAGTTTTGTAGGACTGGATAAACTTTCTCAGAGGTGAAAGTAGTTTTGTGGTTATGTAGAAGAATGCCCTTAATCTTAGAAGATGCATGCTGAAACAGAGGTGCAGTGCCTCAGAAATTTACTTTTCAATGATATAGGGGAAAAAATTATTAAAGCACATTTAGCTTTATTTTCTTTAAACTTTTTTATTTCAAAATACTTTTAGAATTTTGGGACGGCTCCAAAAAAATAGTTCAGGGGGTGCTCACATACATACGTAGATAAACCAAATATGTCAAAGTACTTAAAACACGATAATAGTCATTTAAATTTGTAATAATTCCTGTAATTATTATTAAATAGGCAATTGAATCTATCCAAAAAACTTTAAAAATACTTAACTTTTTACAGGTCTACAAAGACTTAAATAACATGGCCACCAGTTCTCTATTCTCTTCACCAACAACCTGGGACTCCCGCCATCTTTCCTAATTCAGGGCCTTTGCACTTGCTGTTAACCCCGACCCTATCTCCCTTCCCTTGGGCCTCTATTTAAATGTCATCTTCATTAGATCCTTCCATTATCATCCTTTTCAAATTTTTTTTTTTTCTATTTGGCTGCAACACACTGCATGAGGGATCTTAGTTCCCTGACCAGGGATTGAACCTGCGCTCCCTGCAGTGGAAATGCGGAATCTTAACCACTACACCTCCAACGAAGCCCCGTCGTCCTTTTTAAAATAGCTCCTCTTTCACAGCTGAACACCTTTTCCTGCCCTTTCTTTATTGTGACGGCTACTATCAGAAGTTAATTTTAATGCCCTTATTGTCTCCCTCCGCGCGATGCAAGCTCAAAAAAGGAAGACTTTGTTTAGTCACATGCTACATCCTCAGAATCCAAACAGTGTCGAGTATATTGGTGCGCTAGATGGAGAGGTTATTGATTTAACGGCTTAGGTAAGCACATCCTCCACGTAGGGACTCTTTGCTAGGCGGCGGAAGGGTATACTGGTAACAAACATACACGCATGCGCCCAAGATCCGGGAAGTGTGTTAGGGAAAGGGGTGGAGCATCGAGGAGAGTCTCGCGGACAGAGGCGGTTGGAGTCCAGAGCGCGAGGTGGAAGGGGACCGTTTGGCTCAGCGCGCGTGCGCACTGTGACTCCCAGCCTGCCGAGGCAAAAGCGTCTAATACGCTGGAAGGCTGGGGTAGTGACTTCGCGCGTGCGCAATGCATGCGGCGGCACCAGGGTCCCTGTGAGTGAGTTGTGGTTGACTGGCGTAGCGCGTGCGCCTTGCGAACGGCGGAGGGATTTGAGGCTGTTCCCACCCCTTGGCCCTGTCGCGAGCCGAGGCCGCGCGGGCTCGTGAGCTGCGGCCTGGTGCGCGCGCTAGGCGGGCGACAGAGACTGAGGGACGCGGACGCCGCCGGAGTCGGAGCGAGAGCCGCAGTATCCGCTGCTGAGGGGCCGCCGGAGCCCCCGCGAGCCCCCGGACCGTCGCTAGGCCGAGGAGGGCGCCGCGCGGCGGGTGAGTGTGACAGAGTGGCCTTACCGGCTGCGGGGCCGCTACCCACAAGCCCCTGCGGTGGGCCCCAATCCGTTCCCCGCGGCCGGGTCCCTTTCCCGCGCCACCGTCACAGCACCTTTTTGCACCCCTTATCCAGAGTTCTCTGGTCACTTAAGCTTTCTTTCCATAGCCTCTCTCCTCCTCAGCCCACAGGCCCTTGCGGTATGTTCCTTTTTTCGTGTCGCCTCCGCGGACCCTTACCCATAATTCATTTCGCCCGTGGGGTCCAGATCTGTTACCCACAACCGCCTGGCTTGAGGGGCTTGCTACTTTTGACCCCCTTTCTTAATCGAAGACTTCCTGCGACCCTCGCCCCGTAACCTGTTATCCACGGTGTGGGACCACCAGCCGCCACTGCCCTAGACTCCCTTTCTCAGAATCCTTGATGTCCCCACAACCACTCCCGGACCCTCAGCCCCGCGGTTCCTTGCCCAGGACTCTGAGACTTCACTACTCAGAAGCCCTTTTTCAGTCTTTGTTTCCCTTACCGGCTTGGCCCGTCTTCACACAGCCCTCCCACCAAAACCCTCTTTCATTCCGATTTACTCCTTTTCCCTGTGACTTAGGAACGCGCTGTACAGAACCTGTTTTGATACTGAGATTTTGCCTCTACTTCCTTCTTGTCCTGGGAGTCAAGGGGTTATAGGGGTTTCATCTCCCCCAGCCCACCCTAATAGAAGGCTTCTGCTCTCAGACTTGGCAAGATGACCCAGTTCCTGCCGCCCAACCTTCTGGCCCTCTTTGCTCCCCGTGACCCCATCCCATACCTCCCACCCCTGGAGAAACTGCCACATGAGAAACACCACAATCAACCTTACTGTGGCATCGCGCCCTACATCCGAGAGTTTGAGGTGAGTTCAGTGAGCAGACTTGGACCTGGGTTGGGTTCTGGGGGGTCGAGGGGCTGGATTGGGGAGTCCAGTGTCTGGCCAGTTTTCTAGGCCGGGTGATTATTATTTCTTTATTTAGCTGCGCCCTGTTTTAGTCGTGCGTGGGAACTGTTAGTTGTGGCATGTGGGATCTAGTTCCCTGACCAGAGATGGAAATGGAGCCCAGGCCCCATGCATTGGGAGCGAGGAGTCTTAGCCCCTGGACCATCAGGAAAGTCCCAGTTTTCTTGTCTTGATCGAGGTTCATTATGTATCCATTGTTGAGTTTTTGTGACAGTTCAGAAGTTTGTGACAGTAACTACCAGTTGAGGATTCAGACTGTCGAGTTAAATAGTCCTTGGCACATTTATTGGCTGTGTAACCTTGGACAAGTGGCAGATCTTCTTAGTCCTGTGGTCACTTCATCTGTAGCAAGGGAATGTTTATATCTTCTTTGTAATAATTGACAGAATTAATTGAAAATTTTGTTATGGGGCTTGGCAGCAAGCAGTCAGGAAAGGTCAGTATTATTTTATTTACCATTTTTGTCATTAAAGGGTTAACACCAGGTAATGTGCTGTTAAGGTGGTGGTCTTGAGAATTTCAGCTTTGTAACCTCAGGACAAACATAAGTAAATGACTTAGGCTCATGGACCTCAGTTTTTTCCTTCGTGAAATTGGGATAACAACGGTCTACCTCTTAAGGTGATCAAAGAATACCTGAGTATGTTGGCACACAGCCAGAAGTCAGAAGAATGTCGATCTGGCAAGAGTGGGAAAGGGGAGGAGGAGGAAGTTGTGGAGCAGAAGTTGATAGTGAGATGACAGAAGATTGGTTCTTTAGTGACACTTGCCACCCTCAGTGAACCGGTACTTGGAAAATGTTATTAGCCAATTAAACAACTAGGTGTGTGGCAGACGAGGGTCATGTGCCAGTTACTATTTGGTGAGAGCTTGCTGAGGCCTTTAAGAACTGCCCTGGCCCTCAGAGGGCGTCCAGTTGTTTACCCCCAGCCTCTGCACTGTCAGCTCCTTTTGCTTCAGTCCTGGTCCCGGTTCCTGTCTGTGATAGAGAACGAGTACTGTGATACTCACAGTGTGATATGATAGAGAACTGCAGATCAATGCTCTTGATAAATGGAAGAGGATTGTTTTATCTTTTCCAGTACTTTTAGAGAATACAGAGTTAAAGAAAATCACACTTCTAAGTTCAGCGAGCGTAAAACTGCTCTGTTAGGTTGCTGTAGATGTTGTCTGCATATTTCGTCTCAGTTTTTCTGTTTCTCTTGTCACAGACCAGTAACTGTTCAGAGATTGCATTGGTCTGCGGACCACGGTTTTTTTGGGACCACGCTTTGATCTGGACTGTTCCCCTGCCTCCACTGGCCTGGGAACTGTCCATGCTTGTGTGGGCGTGTGTGAACGTGCAGGAGAGTGTGGCCAAGATGTTTGTATTTCTTGATTGGCTGTTCCTGGCTGTTTTCCCCGTCCTCCCACCACTGTCACCCTTCTTGTTCCCAGGACCCTCGAGATGCCCCTCCTCCAACTCGAGCAGAAACCCGGGAGGAACGCATGGAGAGAAAGGTATGTAATGTTTGCCTTCTGCCTCATGTCTTTTTTTTTTTTTGCATCTTACTTCAGGATGTTCCCTGACTTCAGGTCCCTTCTATCTGTATTCAGTTGTCTACCTTTCTCCTGACAGAGACGGGAAAAGATTGAGCGGCGACAGCAAGAAGTCGAGACAGAGCTAAAAATGTGTAAGTCTCTTTCCTCTTTTCATCTCTTGTTCAAGATGCTTGTGTTTCTGCCCCCCAGGTCCACCCCAGGACTCTCATCTGGGAATGTGGGTTGTTGTCAGTTCACTTTTTTAGCCTCCACTATTTGCCGAGGCCTATATTTGGTTTAGGCTTTTAAGCAGGAGAGCATGGAATAAGGGCAGACAGGAAGGGAGCCTTGTACTCTGGGCTGCCTCCTGCAGGGGTCTGCACTTGGAGTGGTGGCCACTGCCCAGCTGGGTCTCCCAGGCCAAGGCAGTGAGGTCCAGGCTCATGAGGCAGTTCTGGTTCCACCTCAGCTCCCTGGCCCTTGGGCTGGGAGTGCTTCCTCCCTTCCAGGTACAGGAGGAGTTGGAGTTTGGGGGAGGGACGTTGTAGTTTTTTTTTTTTTTTTTTCCGTTGTAGTTATTAACCAGACTTCACAAAAGAGTCCCATATCAACCTCAGGTGGCCTTTTCTTATTAGAGCAAGGACTGTGTAGTCAAAAGACGGGTTTTTCTCCCATGCTCGTGAGGCTCTGGTGAATCACGTCTCTCTGAATCACATTCCCTGCAGGAGTCCATTGCTCATGGAGCTCATCAGACAGACACCTGACAGCCAGATAACCTGTGCGTCTCAACGCTGAGCTCTGGCTCTCACTGTGTTCCTGTCTTCTTGGATGCCTCACAGGCATCTTGCACTGTGTCTGGACCACAATCAGGATTTCCTCTCCTCACCAGCCTGGTCTTCTTTCAATGTTTCCTTCCCTGGAACATGGTCATCCAGCTTTGCAAGTCATGGCCAATTGTTTCCACTCAGTTTGCTTTTAACACCTTTTCTTGGCTGTCTCCCAGATTGTCGCCAAGACCTACCCATGCTATTCTGTAAATGTCACAAATCTGAACATTCTGTTTCCACCACCACCGAAGGCCGCTCTAGCCTGGACACACAGTCTAATGAATTTACTTATATCTCTGTCCCCTGCAAGTCCTGTGGGGCCTTTTGAAATACAACTCTTGATTATACCTTTCTCTGCTAATGGGCCCCGTTCCCCTGCCCCACTTTGGGCTGTACCATGTTGCCCTCAGGATCTTTGTTCCCCAACCAGGGATTGAATTTGGGCCCTCTGCAGTGAAAGTGCAGAGTCCTAACCACTGGGTCGCCAGGGAATTCCTATACAGCTTTCTTTTGCTTTCAACATAAAGACCAGAGTCCCTTCCCTGCCCATGCTCCCTCCCCTCTTCCAGCCTGCACTGGCGTCTTCTCCTGCCGCTTGTTTCCCAGATGGTCTCCTGTCACTGGGGCTCTGCCCAGGCCATTCTGCCAGTCTCGCATGGTGCCTTGGTGTATGTGCAGCTGCGTTTTATGTCTCTGGCAGCGTCACTCCTCAGGGCGCCCTTTCATGGTGCTCGGGTAGAGTCGCCTTGCACACTGAAAGCCCTGAGTCCTGCTGCAGCTTGATCATTTCAGTCTGCAGGACTGACGAGCATCTATCTTACGTTGGGTCACACAGTTCAGGAAGCCGGATTCTGGTGGAGTTTGCTCACCATTGTGGCCCCAGCTCCTCTAGGACCTGCACACACAACTGTTGACAGCAGTTGACTTGGGGAACCTCTCAGTTCTATTCCTGGGGCACAGGCCTTAGAGTCTGACCCTGTGAGTTTTAACCTCACCTCTGCCACTTCCAGCTGGGTGGCCTTGGAGAAATCACTTCTCCTGTTGGACATGTTTTCCTCACTTTAAAAATAGGATCCTTAAAAAAAAGGAAAAGAATCCTGACGTGTTAAACGACACTGAGGATGCAGTTAGTTGAATTTAGTATATGGGAGATTGTATCGGACAAACTTGTGACCCAGTTTCCTTAAATAAATGTGAAAACTGGGGAAGCAAGTGGGAAGGGAGTGAACCAAAGGGGTTAAAAAGTCAAAGGGCACCTCAGCCAGATGGTCAGTGTGGAGCTTGTTTGGGTCCTGACTTAAATGAGCCACCTGCAGAAATCTTGTTTTGAAACAGTTGAGGACATTTGAACACTGCGTCTTAATGAAGATAAAGAACTAATGTTAACTTTTTAAGGTGTAGTACTAGTACCGTGGTTACTATTTTTTAAAGTCTTTATTAGCAGTTACAGTGGTATTGTATATCTGGAGTTTGCCTTAATATACTGCTTGGGATAGAGATATAACCAGTGTTGCCATGTGGTAACCATTGAGGTTGGTTCAGAGGGGTTCATTATACTGTTCTCTCTTTCCTTAAGTGTTGAATTTCCCCATGATACAAAAGGAAATGAAAAGGATGGCTCAAGTACAGTAGGCTTTCTCTGCCCTAGGAGCCTCCATCCCCCGGTACAGAAACGGGCTGTGTCTTGTCACAGTTAACAGCTACCATTCAAGGGGACCTTACTGAACACTTGATGCATTTCATGTTTTTTACTTACAGCTTCCAAGTGTGGTAGGGTTTGTCACTCCAGTCTTTAAAACAAAGTGAAGGTCTGTGGAGTCTGGGTCCGCTTAGCAAGAGTCAGAGTTCTGAGATACTTCCTCGTTTCTCAACCCCACAGTCTAATTCTTTGAGCCCCTGCTCTGGGCTGCTACATAGATAACGTCTTTGCCCAAGGATTCCCTGAGGGCAGAGCTGCCAGCAGGGTGGAGTGGCGTGAGGGTGTGCGCGTGCTGCCAGTGAACTGCTGATCAACTTCAGCTCATTTCCACCGTCTTAGCTGAGATTCATGGGCACTGCGCTAGGTTTTACTTTGGGTCACGCTCCTGGGCCTCTTGGCTAAGCAGAAACTATAGGGTCTCTTGTGCCAGGGTGGTTTCCCTGTGTCTGCCGGGCACCCTTGGCTGCTCATGCAGAAGCTCTGCTCTCTGCTGTTTGGGCTCCATCCGCTCCTGCAGGCAGTGATTGGGTCCCCTGTAATGCCCCTGCAGTACCACCTACCCTCTGGTGATGCTGAGGTTTGTCTCCTGTTAAATACACTTCATGTCAAATGGTATTTCAGTGAGGCCTTTCCAGTAAAATGCTTCTCTCCATCTCTCTGTTGCTACTAGATAGAACTGGATGATTGTTGGTCTTAGGTTGTTTACCGGCAGCCTCCTTGCAGTAATAGATGAGCTCCAGGAAGGCAGGGGTCTTTTTTCCTCTTTTTCACTGTTGTTACCCCAGCACCTACGGGAGTTTTAGGTACATAGTGCTTAACAGATACCCATTGGGTGAATGGATGCAGATTGAGACATGTGAGCACAGACAGTTACAACCCAGAGGGATGGGCTTCAGGTGAGGAGGTGAGGGGCAGGCACAGGGGTGGACGTGACCGTCCGAATCAGCTGTGGAATTAGTTCTGTAAGAGTCTGGCTCTGTCTGTGGAGCTGGTTGGTCCTCAGTGGTCTGCGGTAGTAAGGCTGGGAGTTAACCCCGTCCGTCCTGCGTGGCCTCAGTGCCGGCTGTGGGTTCCTCCCTGAGGGCTTTGAGCCTTTGCTCGGCTCCCTCCCACTCCCATCGAAGGGTTGCTTGATCTCCGGTTTTCCTGTGGGCTGCAGTTGCAGGCCTTGCCGGTGGGTGGCACTGTGGCACTGCAGGTGGTGGAGGAAGCAGTTCCTGGCAGGATAGGGCTGCTTCTCCAGAGATGGGCTGCTTTTCCAGAGATGCCACTTTGGGCTTAGCTACTCCCACCTGGGAGGGACTTGGGCCTCAGGATATGTAGGCCTGAAATAGGGGGGCAGTAGGCTGGCTGCCCTTCTGTCAGCTTGAAGTCAGTCTCATCCCTTCCTTTAATCAGCCTAAGTCAGCCACTCATCTGCTGTGCCTCAGGGCAGTCAGGGCTCAGAGAGGGGCCTGCCCATGGTGGCCAGGTGACCAGAAGTTCTGGGCCTGTGTCCATCAGTCTCTTTCTTTCTTGCTCTGTGATACTGCTGACAACGTATAACTTACAGAATTTTTTTTATCCTGCACAGGGGACCCTCACAATGATCCCAATGCTCAGGGTGATGCCTTCAAGACTCTCTTTGTGGCTAGAGTGGTGAGTCCCCAGCTCCTGACCCCTGGAGCCCTAGGCTACAGAGAGCGTGGATGTGGACAGTAGGCTCAGTCCATGGGATGTTTGAGGGCTTCTCTCACTTCATTTCCGTTTCCTTGTAGAACTATGACACAACAGAGTCCAAGCTCCGGAGAGAGTTTGAGGTGTATGGACCCATCAAAAGGGTGAGTGGACTAGGGCAGGGGTGCTTGAGTTGAAGGTGTGTGGAGGGAGGGAGAAGGCACCGCATCATTTCGGGCTTCAGAATCCATGGCCTGGGTTTCTGTCCTGCCTGCACACCCGTGCCGGAGTCTTGGAATAGGAGAAAGAAAGCGAAGAGGTCATGATTACTTGCTGCTGACTTAGAGCACAAGTCAGCAAACGGAGAACTTAGTGTCTGTGAATGAAGCGTTGTTGGTATCCAGCCAGGCCCACTTTGTTGTCTGCAGCTGCTGTTGCTGCGAGGCAGTTAGGCACGTGCGACAGAGACTGTGTGGCCCTGCAAGCTGGAAATATCTGCTCTCTGGCCATTTGTAGAAAATGTAGGTTGACCCTTGTTCTAGAGCACAGCTTCATGTATAACGGATATCTCTTCATTTGGTTGAGAAGTTACTCGTGCTCTGGGCTCTAGGAAGGGCTTGAGGTCATTGTGCACATCAGTTGCTAAGCCCAAGGCCGTTTGTGTATCAGTCACTCTGGGTCCTTGAAGGGATCAGGGGAGGGTCAGAAGCATCTGTTCCTGGCATCATCCAGCCCAGAGCCTGGCACACAGGCTTGTGTGATTGATACAGTGAGTTGTCCCCTTGTCAGAACTGACCTCTGCCTCCTGCCACCCACCCTCCAGATACACATGGTCTACAGTAAGCGGTCAGGAAAGCCTCGGGGCTATGCCTTCATCGAGTACGAACACGAGAGGGACATGCATTGTGAGTACCTCCCACCTGCACCCTGCCCTCTGACCCTCTCTCTTCTCTGCTGCCCCAGCCCCTTCCCGTCGTCTGTCCCCCATCCCCTCCTCACCAGACCTGACATTAGCGATGTCTCTTCTCCTCCTCCCTCTGTTTCTGATATATCTTTTTTTTTGTTTTTTATATACGTGTTTTTTAAAAAACAAAAACCAAAATCCCCCACAACGTGTGTGTGTGTGTGTGTGTGCACCTGGGGAGGTAAGTGTCACACGTTGAACCTCAGGGGCAAGGAGGGAACCTGGTGGGGGCTAGGGCTAGCTGGAGGTGGGGGGAGGGGTCGGATTTTCGGGGAGCCTCTCCCCCATTTCCCCCAGCAGATTTGGGGGTGGCCAGGTTGCAGTGAGGACTGGCCTTTGAACCTGCCCTCTCCTCCCCCCAGCTGAGCTGGGGCTGGGCCACCCGACCCTCCACCTCCCCACCCCTGGCCCCCCACCCTGTTCCTCGGCGGGCAGTGGGCTGGTCTGCGTGTTCAGCGCCTGCCCCCACATCTCCAAAGCCCCCGTTGAGGCTGCGGCGGCGTCCACATGGGCAGGGATGGGTGGGTGGGGGTGGGCAGGGCTGCGGCGTGTCCAGGGGCCGCCGTATTAATTGACTGTTCTTATTGTCACTGCAGCCACCACGCAGCTGGCTTGCAGCTGATGCTTACGCTCCCCTTACAACACCTCAGTGTATGGTTGGTATAAGGGTTTGTATCATGGGTAAGATCACTCAGCACCGCACACCAGCCCAGCTTAGCCAGGCAGCTCAGGAGCAGCGAGGCCTCCCTCCTCCCACCCCCAGCCGCCCCTCAGCCTCCCCGCACCCAGAACCCTTTCCTTGGTTGGGTGCCCTCTGTCCCTTCTGGCCCCATCCAGGTGCTCTCTGATAATCTTGCTGGTCCCTGGAGGGGAAAGATGCCCCCCCCCCCGATGGGAAGGGCAGCCGGCCTCTCCAGTTGGGCTCGGTTTAACCCCCAGCATAACCTGGCTTCCCGACGGCCGCGGCACGGCGGCGGGAATGCAGCGGGGCCAGGGCTCCTGGTGGAACCCTTCAGCCCGCCCTCCTCTCCCGGCCCCTGCCCCTTCTGCAGGGCCATCACTGGTGGCCCTGGAGAATCTTTTGGTTGCTAGACTTGGGGTGCTCTGCCCATGTCCTGTCTGCCTTGTCACAGTGGAGCCTCCCGAGAGGCTGTGGAGCCCAGCTGCTCTCCAGAGTGCATGGACTTGGGGATTGCTGTGGGAGGGGTCGAGCGACAGGTTGTGAACATCTCAAGGTGTTGGAGCTTTTACTGAAAACCCTTCCACTGGCTGGATACCTAAGAGAGGGAGAGAGAGCGAAGCCTAGAGATACACACATCACATTTTTCTCTGCTGTTCTTCCCGGGTTGGGCCTCTTTTGGGGTTTGGGACATGACCAGAGCAGGGGTCCTTTGCTTGACTGTGTCCCCAGTCCTGAAATCCCTCTCCCGCTACCCTCCTCTGGGTTCAGGGGCCCAGTGGCCCCTTCCCCTTGGATCGTGGGCAGTACTCCTATCTCCTGGACCCCTGAAGCTGTCCCCTTGTGTGCCAGCCTTTGGGCTGAAGCAGATGGTGGGAGGGAGTGAGAAGTTCAAGGTGGAAAAGTCATTCCATGTGCTGAGAGGGGGTGGGGCCTGTGCCTAGCTGAGTGTGGATTTTATGGGGAAAAGCTGAAGGTGGACAGGTTTGCTAAGGCCTCCCTAGCCGCCTTTTAGAATTCAAACAAGATAGTCCTTTCAAATTCCCAAGCTCCATGGTAACCCTTGTCTCCCCCTCTTCCAAGGCCTCCATGAGGTTTCTTTGGGGTCCACCACTTCCTCTGCCTGCCTCCAGGCGGTGCAGGAGATGTGGTTCCTCTCCCCTCCGGGGGCTCCCTAGAACCCCCTGGCTCCCTTCCCAGTAGCTTTAGCTGACCCCATGGTGGTGGGTGTGGGGTCTGTGCGCGTGCTCAGGTAAGCTTGGGGGCTCCAGGTAAGCGGTCCCGTGTCCCCCCCCCGGGAAGCCCGCCTCCTCGCCAGGCCCCCAGGAGTTGCCGAGCCCCCCCCATCCCGCTCGGTTTGGACACCCGCAAGGCCGGCATCGGTAAATGGCACCTTTTTCTCTTCCTCTGGTTGTTATTTGGGGGGGGAGAGGGCTGGGGCGGGGCCGGGTGCTGTGGCTGGTTGAGGATGACCCCCTCGGCCAGGGCTGGGGGTTGGGAAACAGGGACTTTTTTGGCCTCCCGAGAGCCCTACTTGAGACAGGCCCGGGCTCGAGCCTGTCCTTGGCTGTGTCCTGCTCACCTGCGGGACGTGCCCCTCCCCGCATCTCCCCTCTACTCCGCACCCTTCCTGAGGCTCAGGTCGGACCTGGCCTCTCCCGGCGCGTGTTGCACTGGGGTGTGGAGGGAGAGCTGGGCTGGGGGCTGGGTGGGTACAGTCTCGGCAGGTAAGGCAGGGATTTTCAGTAGCACCACACGACTCCCATGCCTCCCTCCACTTCCCTCTGCCCCACCTGCTGTAGGGGGCCCCCATAACCCACCCTCTACTCCCTGCCATCTCCTAAAGATTTCTCCTGCCCCCTTCTGGTTCATTTTCTGTTCTGATGTCTGTTCCCCCCATGCTCACCCTCCCCCAACAAAAAACCACAGTAAAGGAAACCGGTGTGAACTGGGGTGCGGAGCTGCCCGGCTGGGCCTCTGCTCCCAGCATGATGTTTCAGGGTGCATGCCTGGGGTTGTGGAGGAGCCCTCCCCCACCGCAGAGTCCAGCCTCAAGTTAACCTCCAGTTTCTTTGCAGCGACTTTGGCCGCCTTGGTGCGAGGGGGCTGCTCTGTCGAAGGGGAGTAGGCCTGGCCTGGGAGCCCAGGGCGGTGGCTAGGGTTAGCATGGTGGTTGGGAGTGGGCCGGCCCCCCCAAGAGTTGTTCGGGGGGTGATGAGGAAGCAGGAGGTGAGATGGAGCAGGCCCCTCCCAGGTTGGGAGAGGGTTGTCTGGCTGTCAGTTGCCTGGCTGTCTGGTGGGCCTGTGTGCGTGCGTGTGTGTGCGCCGAAGTGTAAGTGTGCTGATGTGGGGGTGGGGATGCCACAGAGCGGGCCGTCTCCTGACTAGAGGACCCTCTGGGGACTCCTCCTCCTCCCCTTCCCCGCATCTGTTGCAGCCGCTTACAAGCATGCAGACGGCAAGAAGATCGATGGCAGGAGAGTGCTCGTGGACGTGGAGAGGGGCCGCACCGTGAAGGGCTGGAGGCCCCGGCGGCTAGGTGAGTGCATCCTGCTCCGGCTGGGCTCGGGGTCCTGCTGGCTTCCTCTCCCGTTTCTTCCCCCCTCTGTTGCTTTCTGTCTTCTCTTTGCCGCACGGCTGCTGACATTCCTTCTCCCTCTCTCCAGCTCAGCCTCTCGGTCTCCAAGTCCTGCTCCGGCTGGGCTCGGGGTCCTGCTGGCTTCCTCTCCCGTTTCTTCCCCCCTCTGTTGCTTTCTGTCTTCTCTTTGCCGCACGGCTGCTGACATTCCTTCTCCCTCTCTCCAGCTCAGCCTCTCGGTCTCCAGCATTCTCTTGGTCTCCAGCATTCTCTTGGTCTGTTTTTGTTTTTTATTCTGTGTTACCAATTAGGAGCGAGAGTACTAATCTGGAGAAGCCAGTCTGGGATCACATTCTGACTTGCGCACTACCTGGCAGGTGGATTTCTCCCCTTTTCTGTCTCATTTTCCTCATCCTAGAAAGTGGGAATAATCTCAGTTCACTGAGCTGAGCATCTCAGATAGCCAGCTTGGCAAGTGGTGTACAGTGGGGCTTGAAAAGACATTCTGTCATCCACGTGTACTTTGCTCCTGCTCATCCGTCCTGTTCATTCATTGATTACTGAGTAAATGCTGGTTTGGTCACCAACCACATAGCAGGCTTCTAGTCAACAGTGAGACATACGTGGTTAGCCGCTGTCCTCAAAGCTTCCTATTTTCAGTCCCTATCACTGTCATCTCTTATTGTCAGTTACCATCTCAGTCAAGGTCAGATTGGTGGCAAGTACCAGAAAACAGTATAAAGGGGCGTGTTGGTATAGAACCCCAGTGTCTCTGGGCCCTGTTGGTGTAGAAACACCAGTGTCTCGGAGCCCAGAGACATGGGATATCTGTGGGCCTTGAGGACCTGGAAGCTGAGCCTTAAGCATCCAGAGCCACGTCTGGCATCTCTGTACCTTGTTTGGTTGCTGTCTGTGTGAACTGGTCTCTTCTGGGTCTCTCCACACTGAGCCTGTGTGCCATTCCACAACGCAGTCTTGGATGAGTCTGCGCTTCTGGTGGGTGGACCTAAGTGGCTCAACATTGGGCCTGGACTTGGGGCTGAGGTCGTGCCATCCAGACTTGGCTGTTGAGGGCCAACTCCAATGAGGGGGAGTGACCCAATTGTCAGAGAAAATGGTCTTCACTAGGCAGACACCCTAGGTGGGTCCAGTACCCTCTGATCTTATTTCTGCCCCCAGCCCACTGTTCTTATGCTTGACTTGCCTTTACTGAGTAAATCACACACATATCTGCTGAGTGTCAACTCAACAGATAGGTTCTCATCTCCCTCTCTGGTTTCTTTGGGTTGGCATGAGTCCTTCAAAGTCTGCTGTTGCCCATTGTAGAATCCTGGAATCTCAGAATCTTCTCGTTTGATTGGCATTCTAACTTTCTGATAGTGATAGCCAGTGCATTTTGACCCAGTGTACATGCAAAAAATATATATATTTAACCCAAACAAAAGTTTAATGAAACAGTAATTTATTTTTTCTACAGGCAGTATATACTAGTATTTTATATTCTGTTTATCTTTTTAAAAAACGTGTTGGTTGCATCCTGTCAAATTCAGTGATACGACTCCATTGCTGGGTTGTGACCTGAACATTGAAAACACTGGTCTGTTTCTCTGCATACCTGCTGGGTGGCTTGTCCCCTGTTTGAATGTTTCACGTCCAAGCTGCCTCTTTTCCCTTTTGACCCTCTTCCTTAGATGAAATAGCTTCACGAAGCTTCCTTCCAGGCAGTGGGGGCAGAAGGGTGAGTGAGAGGGCAGCTTCTGGAGTCAGCAGGGAGTCTCATCTCTGATCTGCCCTTCCTTGCCGAGTTGCCCTGGGCAAGTGGCTTTTCCGCCTGAGTTTGTTTGCCACGTGAAGGAGGAGGTTAGCTGCTGTTCCTTCTGGTTGTCCTCTTCGCCACTTGCTGCTCGTCCAGCTTTATATCCTGGCTGCTGTACGCAGCAGGTCCAGCGTCCTGATTGAAGGCGCAGTACAGGCTGGAGGGAGAGGCAGCTGTTAATCAGCTCTTTCTTGCACTTGCGCGTACAAACACACACACACGAAATTGGAAACCCTGCCTGAAGTTCTGAGGAGAGTGTGTGGTCTGTGGTGGAGAAGGGCCTCATCGGATAGTCAGGGCAGGCTGAGTGAGGAGGTGTAGGTTAAGGTGCAGAGGGTCAGTGGGAGTTAAGTAGAAAGGGAGATGAGACTCTAGGGGAACTTGTTTTTTTTGTTTTTCTTTTTTTTAGTGGTTTTTGTCATACATTGAAATGAATTAGCCATGGATTTACATGTATTCCCCATCCCAGTCCCCCCTCCCACCTCCCTCTCCGCCCAATCCCTCTGGGATTGGTGTCTTCCCAGTGCACCAGGCCCGAGCACTTGTCTCATGCACCCAACCTGGGCTGGTGATCTGTTTCACCCTAGATAATATACGTGTTTCGATGCTGTTCTCTTGAAACATCCCACCCTCGCCTTCTCCCAGAGTCCACAAGTCTGTTCTATACATCGGAGTCTCTTTTTCTGTTTTGCACATAGGGTTATCGTTACCATCTTTATAAATTCCATATATATGTGTTAGTATACTGTAATGGTCTTTATCTTTCTGGCTTACTTCGCTCTGTATAATGGGCTCCAGTTTCATCCATCTCATTAGAACTGATTCAAATGAATTCTTTTTAATGGCTGAGTAATATTCCATGGTGTATATGTACCACAGCTTCCTCATCCATTCGTCTGCTGATGGGCATCTAGGTTGCTTCCATGTCCTGGCTATTATAAACAGTGCTGCGATGAACATTGGGGTGCACGTGTCTCTTTCAGATCTGGTTTCCTCGGTGTGTATGCCCAGAAGTGGGATTGCTGGGTCATATGGCAGTTCTATTTCCAGCTTTTTAAGAAATCTCCACACTGTTTTCCATAGTGGCTGTACTAGTTTGCATTCCCGCCAACAGTATAAGAGGGTTTCTAGGGGAACTTGTGAACGATCCCCAAAACTGGGTAGGAAGGACATGGAGACCATGAGGAGGTTGGAAAATGCCTGGAACCTTTAGAGCCAGGGGCCCGTGCGCTGAAAGACAGGGAGGAGGCCGGCCTCCGACCTTGGCTTGGGCGGTGGGGAGCCACCGCGGGCTCTGAGGCGCGTCTCGGTTTCAGTTAGACGCATCAGGGCTGTGCCTCAGGCTGGGGATAACCGGGGGAGAGGGGCTGTCAGGGGCTGGGGCCTCCCCGGTGGGGGAGGTGAGCTCGGAGCCGATGAGGGCGCTGTGCCCTTCTGATCTCCGCACTGCCCGCCGTTGGGAGCGCCAGGACCTCAAGAGACGCCGGAGCTCGGGGTCCCCGCCCGCCCTGACCACCTGTGTCTGCCCGTCCCCAGGAGGCGGCCTGGGCGGCACCCGGAGAGGCGGCGCGGACGTCAACATCCGGCACTCGGGCCGGGACGACACCTCCCGCTATGATGAGAGGTGAGGCCGGGCCCGGTGTCCTGGGAGCGGGGCGGTGAGTGGGGGAGCCCTGCCGCAAACCTCTGCCCACCTCATCCAGGCCCGGCCCCTCCCCGCTGCCCCACAGGGACCGGGACCGGGACCGCGAGCGGGAGCGCCGGGAGCGGAGCCGCGAGCGAGACAAGGAGCGGGAACGACGACGCTCCCGCTCTCGGGACCGGCGGCGGCGCTCGCGGAGTCGCGACAAGGAGGAGCGGCGGCGCTCCAGGGAGCGGAGCAAGGACAAGGACCGGGACCGCAAGCGGCGCAGCAGCCGGAGCCGGGAGCGGGCACGGCGGGAGCGCGAGCGCAAGGAGGAGCTGCGCGGCGGCGGAGGCGGCGGTGGCGACATGGCCGAGCCCTCCGAGGCCGGCGACGCGCCCCCGGATGACGGGCCCCCCGGGGAGCTGGGTCCCGACGGCCCAGATGGCCCAGAGGAGAAGGGCCGGGATCGTGACCGGGACCGACGTCGAAGCCACCGCAGCGAGCGGGAGCGGCGCCGGGACCGCGATCGCGACCGGGACCGGGAGCACAAGCGAGGGGAGCGGGGCGGCGATCGGGGCAGGGATGAGGCCCGCGGTGGGGGTGGTGGCGGCCAGGACAACGGGCTTGAGGGTCTGGGCAACGACGGCCGAGATATGTACATGGAGTCCGAGGGAGGCGACGGGTATCTCGCTCCGGAGAACGGGTATTTGATGGAGGCCGCGCCGGAGTGAAGAGGCCGCTCACCGGATGCTTGGACGTGTTCCTACTCTCCCTGCTGTCATCCTCTCCCCCACCTTCCTGGTCACCACCTAAATCTGCCAGCCAAGGGTAGGAGTCTCCTTATTTGTTTTGGTCTCTTGGATTTAAAAATAAAATTGATTGTTGATAATGGGCGCTTGGTTTCTTCACTGCTCTTCCTGTCTTCCCCAGGAGGGTGTCCCCTTCTGACTTTAGATGGCCCCACTCTGGTTGGTGTTCAGGACTGGAGCTGTATGAACTAAGGCTGGGGCTAGTCCCGGGACAGCCCAGCTGTTTAATAAAATGGGGTAAGGAAGCCCTCCTTACGGGTCCTTGATGCCTTTGTTATCTTCCTTGTTTTCAGCTCTCCCACACATTTCTTGTGGAGCCGTTCATACCCCTATCTTGGTGCAGGGATGGGGCTCTGGGCCATGTTTTCACAAAGGAAGCATGAGAGCAAGATACAATGGTAAAGAGAAGAGACTGTCTTGTCTGTAAGTGGTATTGGGACAACTGGACAGCTAGCTACATGTAAAAGAAGAAAACATTCTCTTAATGCCATATACAAAAATAAGATGGATTGGGGCTTCCCTGGTAGTCCAGCGGTTAAGAATCTGCCTGCCAATGCAGGGGACATGGGTTTGATCCCTGGTTTGGGAATATCCCACACGCCAAGGAGCTGCTAAGCTCAGGTGCCACAATAAGAGAAACCACTGCAATGAGAAGGCTGCACTCTGCAACTAGAGAGGAACCCCGCTTGCCAGAACTAAAGAAGGGCCACATGCAGCAAAAAAGACCCAGTGCAGCAAAAATAAAGTTTTTTTAAAAATGGATTGCTGCCTTAAGTGTAAGACCAGGTATTATAAATAAAACTAGGGGAAAACATAGAACACACATAAATCACAGGAATACTTTTTTGGAGCTGACTCCTAGAGTAATGGAAATACAAGCAAAAATAAATGGGACCTAGTTAAACGCATTAGAACAGCAAAGGAATCAATAAGATGAAAAGACAACCTACAGAATAGGAGAAAATACTTTAAATGATAAAACTGACAAGGGGTTAATTTCCAAAATATACAAACAGCTCATATTGCTCAATATATAAAATACAAACAACCCAGCCAAAAATGGGCAGATCTAAATAGGCGTTTCTCCAAAGGTGAGGTACAGATGGCCAACAGGCATGTGAAAAGATGTTCAACACTGCTAATTATTAGGGAAATGCAAATCAAAACCACAGGATCACCTCACAGCAGACTGAATGGCCATCACCCAAAGTCTACAAATAAGTGCTGGAGAGGGTGTGGATAAAAGGGAACCCTCCCACACTGCTGGTAGGAATGTCAATTGGTATAACCACTATGGAGAACAGTATTGCGGTTCCTTTAAAAATACTTTTTCCTTTAAAAATAACTCACCATCCCACTCCTGGGCATATATGTCTAGAGAAAATAACCTGAAAAGACATGCATCCCAATGTACATAGGACTATTTACAATAGCAAGGGGAGTTCCCTGGCAGTCCAGTGGTTAGGACTCCACACTTCCACTGCAGGAGGCACAGGTTCAAGGAGACCTGCATGCCACGTGAGTGAAGTGAAAGTCGCTTAGTTGTGTCCAACTCTTTGTGACCCCATGGTCGATACAGTCCATGGAACTTTCCTGGCCAGAATACTGGAGTGGGTAGCCATTCTCTTGTCCAGGGGGATCTTCCCAACCCAGGGATCAAACCGGGGTCTCTTGCATTGCAGGCAGATTCTTTACCAACTGAGCTACCAGGGAATCCCGAATGCCACATGGAGTGGCCAAAAAACAAAAAAGATAGCACAATAGCCAAGACATGGAAGCAACCTAAATGTCCATCGACAGGAATGGATAAGGAAGATGTGGACCATATATACCATGGAATATTAACCATAAAAATAATGAAATGCCATTTGTAGCAACATGGATGGACCTAGAGATTATCATACCAAATGAAGTCAAAAGGAGAAAGACAAATATGATACTGTTTATATGTGAAATCTTAAAAAGATACAAATGATGCATGCTGTGTGCATGCTAATTCACTTCAGGTAACTGAAGTGGCTAAAGTAACTGTGTGACCCCATGGACTGGAGCCCACCAAGCTCCTCTGTCCATAGGGATTCTCTGGGCAAGAATACTGGAGTGGGTTGCCATGCCCTCCTCCAGGGCATCTTCTCAACCCAGCAATCAAACCTGTGTCTCTTATGCCTCCTGGATTGGCAGGCAGGTTCTTAGCGCCACCTGGGAAGCCCTGATACAAATGAACTTATTTACAAAACAGAAACAGACTCAGAGAAAACAAATTTATGGTTACCCAAAAGGAAAGGGAGGAGAGGGATAAATTAGGAGTTAGGGAATTAATAGATACACACAACTATATATAAAGCAAGGACCTACTATATAACACAGGGAACTATACTCAGTAGATCTTGTGATAACCTATAACGGAAAAGAATCTCAAAAAGAATACATGTATAACTGAATCACTGCTGTACATCTGAAACATTGTAGATCTGTACTTCAATTGAAAAAAACTTAAAAATAAATTTTTAAAGATGTAAAAAGACTGGATAGAGGAACTTCCCTGGTGGTCCTGCAGCTAAGACTCTCAGCTCCCAATGCATGGGGCCTGGATTTCATGGATCTGTGGTCAGGGAACTAGATCCCACACACAGCAACTAAAACTTTGCATTCCACAAGAAAGATGGAAGATGGAGGATCCCTTGTGTCACAACTAAGACCCAGCATAGCAAAACAAATAAATAAAATAAAAATCAGGTAGAGCAGAGGGTCCTCACAGGGCCAGGACAGAAAATGGCCTCCAGTTCATGATGGCAGGTTCACTGTCTGTGTTTTTACTTCCTAATGATAACAGAGGAGTAACAAAGCAAGGTTCTGTCAGCAGTCGGAGATGTCAGCTCATTTCTGGATTAAAGACGAAATAGGACAATGGTGAGGACACGGCAGTCTGGTGGCCACTGGAGAAGGGAGCCATCCGCAGACCTTGCAGAACACGTACAGAGGCTCAGGACTGCAACTTCAGGTATCACAAAGGTAGGAGACTGGAATAGGATCTGTACACAGGACGATCGCACTCTGTTTCCACAGTCAGAATGCCTAGGAGCTGGGCATTTGCAAATACAAGTTTCTCAGCCTGAAGGCAAAGTTGGCCTGATAACTAGAGGCAAACTGTCAGTGAAATCCAACTGCACACACCAGGTTCTAGTGTTGTTTTTTTTTTTAACTGCCTCAGTTTTTACAAGCATATAACCAAAGATCCCAGACATTTGAAAAAAGAGACCACAAGATAAATAGAGAAACTGGTCCTGGAGAAAACAATTTAGGGAATAATTAAAAAAAAACAAACTTAATACCTCTAATGACTGTATTTTCATAGATACTCCAGATGTTGAAACCATACTTCTGGAGTTGATTATGAAAAATAGTCCATTTTGGACTTTCCTGGCATAGTGTGCGTGCTAAGTCACTCAGTCACATCCGACTCTCTGTGACTCTGTGGACCATAGCCCGGCAACAGACCAGGTACATAAAGACTGGACAGGGGCTTCCCTGGTAGCTCAGTGGCAAAGAATCCACCCACCAATGCAGCAGACACAGATTTGATCCCTGGTCCAGGAAGATCCTATGTAGCTCGGAGCAACTAAGCCCGTGCGCCACAAGTACTGGGGAGCCCGGGAACTGCATCTACCGAGCCTGCGCTCCCTGGCGTGTGTGCTCTGCAACAAGAGAAGCCACTGCAATGAGAAGTCTGCTTGCCACAACTGGAGGAGGCCCGCACACGGCATCAAAGACCCAGCGCAGCCATAAAGAAAGAAAGAAATCTTAGAAAAAAAAGACTGGACAAAACATATAAAAGTAACTTGTGAAAGGCTTTGGGGAGCAAGCAGTTGTAGGCCACATTTGAGGGGGTCTGATACCAAGAAAGGAAAGCATACAGAGGTGAACTTCATATTTGCTCTTGGGGGCTCAGACAGTAAAGAACCCACCTGCAATGCGGGAGACCTGAGTTCGATCCCTGGGTCGGGAAGATCCCCTGGAGGAGGGCATGGCAACCCACTCCAGTATTCTTACCTGGAGAATTCCATGGACAGAGGAGCCTGGTGGGCTACAGTCTATGGGGTCACAAAGAGTCGGACACGACTGAGTGACTAACACTTTCTTTCACTTTTCCCTTTGAGGATATTTGCCAATTATTGTGGCAGGACAGACTCAAAAAAGTGGTGGAAAAGACTCAGAAAGTGGCAGTCCTCAACTCGTCTGAGCTGACAGAGTTTGGACCAGACAGTGGGACCTGAGGGAGAAACTCTCAGATAGGGCTGAGTCCCACAATGGACATGCAGTCTTCCCCGCAGGCATCTGCCAACGCCTAAGCGACTCGCTGTCCTTTCAAGACCCCCAGGGGGCTCATCAGAAAGCGCTAAAGGAGGCTAAGTTGCTGAGCAGCCATGTAACCCCCGGGGAGACAGGCTGGGTTCCAGGCCTGCAGTGGAGAGATGGCTACGCCTGAGACTCCCAGAGTAACACAACATTGGAGTTGGGTCACATGTGAAATAGACCAGGCCTAAGAAAACCTAAAACCAGACCTCTCCCCTGCCAGAAGAAAACTGAACTTTCTGTGGAGGAAGGGAGAGCCTACGTGGTTTTCAGTACAAATGTGTGTGTGTCTTAGTTGCTCAGTCATGTCCGACTCTGCGACCTCATGGACTGTAAGTCCCCAGGCTTCTCTGTCCATGGGATTCTCCAGGCAAGAATACTGGAGTGGGTCGCTATTCCCATCTCCAGGGAATCTCCCAACCCAGGGATCGAACCAGGGTCTCCTGACTCCAGGCAGATTCTTTACTATCTGAGCAACCAGAGGCTAACCCTTAGTGCCAATACTTAGCATCTATTCAAGGAGGAAAAGACAATAAAAACACATTGGAATTATCAGAGGCTGAAATAATTGTTCCCAAAATAAGGAAAATGGAGAATTTGAATAGATCTTTAAAATTGTAAAGTTTAACAGGAATCTTAGAAAACAGGTCTATTGGAAATTTCAGAACTGGAAACCATCTGCAATTAATTAGTAGACACATTTGGTAGTTGATTAGATAATAGATGTGCAAGGGGAAAAAATAATTAGAGGAACTTTCCTGAAGGACAAATCTCACAATCTTTGTTTCCCCCCAACGATCTTCTTAGGGAGTTATTAATAATGGGGGATATACTTTACCGAAATGAACGAGTTAAAAAGAGATGATCCGGTTCAGCAGGGCAGTGGAGGGACATTCCAGGATGGCAGTTTCTTGGTTCAGACTGGAGTCAGAGGATTGAAGTTTACAAGAAGCCTCTGGATAAAAAGAGTCAATAAAGTAAGTGTTGTGATGCAAAGTTTGAAAGAAATTAAGAATGTGATGAAGGAAACAAAAGCAGATAGACATTACAGGGAAAAAAATGGAAGCTGTTCAAGAAAGGAAATGTAATCACAGGATAATACTCGAGCTCATACAGCCAACAGTAAGTATTGAATACTTAGACATAATGTGAGCCTTTTATTGACTGACCTAAAAACTGGTACCATAAAACTACCATGGGAAGAGAGGGGAAAGGTTGTAAGAGCAGAAAATCAATATGTAATATATTGCTAACAGCTAAAATTGAAAAATTGAAAAATGATATGTTACTTAGCTACAGAAGCAACTAGCAGGTGAAACATCTACCCCTTATTGCCTCCTGCAGTGAGGAGAATTAGGATGGGGACAGAGGCTGGTGCTTTCCGTTTTGTGTGTGCGTGTGGGTTGTTTTGTTTTTGTTTTTTAATTTTCTTGGCCTCCACACATGGCACGTGGGATCTTGGTTCCCTGACCAAGGATCAAACCCACACCCCTTGCTTTAGAAGTGCAGAGTCTTAACCACTGGACCACCAGGAAAGTCCCTTGGGCTGGTGCTTTTCGATATTCATCCTTCTAGGTCATGTACTGCTATATTTAAAATGGATAACCAACAAGGACGTACCATACAGCACACGGAACTCAGCTCAAAGTTCTGCGCCAGCTTGGATTGGGGGGGCTTGGGGGAGAGTGAATACATGTATGTGCAGGGCTGAGTCCCTTCGCTGATCACCTGAAGCTCCCACGACATTATTCATCAGCTCTGCCCCAATACAAAAGAAAACGTTTGGAAAAAAATTAAAATGGACAAAATATATTTATCCTTCTGTATTATTTCATTTTGTTTTAAAGTCCATAACTATGTTCTGTTGTTGTTGCTAAAATGAAAAGAGAAAAACAGTATGATGGCAAGAGGGTAAACAAACCTGCTCTCATCCTCTCACTTTGCAAAAACCCCTTTCTGGATTCCATCCCACTACTGGTGAGGTTACCTGAGGATGCACTTTCTGCATCTGTTGATGGTTGAATAGCCAGGCTTCTCCAGCCTCATCTGCCTCTACATGTCTCTGACTCTCCAGAGAATCTGATACCACTGCTCACTTCCTTTTTCAGAAACACTCTCTTCTCATGCTTTCTCCCACCTGAGTTTTCCTCCTACCTTTCCAGCTCTTCTTTGTCTTCTTCCTGACTTTTATACATTAGGAGTTTTGAAGACTCTGTCTTCAATCCTCTTCATTCTAGATTCTCTTCTCTCTAGCATTCTTGTTCACTCTTCTGGTGTTATTTAGCAGCTTTGCCTAAATTCTCAGAACTGCTTGCAGGCCTGGTTTACTGCACAGGCTCCTCAAAGTCAAAATATCTACTGTCCTGTCACCAGCATAGACCATCTTAGCAAAAGGCCCCACATGCACCTTAATATCCCCTTCTCCTCCACCTCTCAGGCCTCGTATACAATTAAGACACATCCAAACATCATACCCTCCACGCCTCTGCTTATCACAGGATTACAGGGATGACCTCCTGATCTGTCCCCCGATCCCAGTTTTGCTCCCATCCAATCCAGTCTCCACACAGTGTCCATGGTGATCTTAACATACACATGTGACTATCACATTTTACTTGTAGGAGTTACCATGAAGCCCAAAATCCTTAACATGAATAAGCCAACATACAAGGCGGGGCATCAGTTATATCCTGTCAACCTTTCCGCCTTTCTCATAAACCACTCCAGTCCTTACTCTGCTATCCTGCCATGAGGGCTCTTTCTGCCTGGAAAGTGACCCACGCCGCACCTCTTGAAGATCTTACCTCCAAGGACTTTCCACCAGTGTCCCTCCTAGATCGTCACCTCCCTAGTCTCATATCTGTCTACCCGCCTCCACCACCACCCGCGTCATAGAATAAGCTCTAGGAGGGCAGTGGGCTTAGTTGCCCTGCTCACCATCTTATCCATGATCTTGGGCCCAGTGTGTGACATAGCTCAGTTCAGTTCAGTCGCTCGGTCGTGTCCGATTCTTTGCAACCCCATGGACCGCAGCACGCCAGGTCTCCCTGTCCATCATCAACCCCCGGAGTTTACTCAAACTCATGTCCATTGAGTCGGTGATGCCATCCAACCATCTCATCCTCTGTCGTCCCCTTCTTCTCCCGCCTTCAATCTTTCCACAATGAATGTGGAAAAAACGGATAGCAAGGAGACAGACAGGTGAGGCGGGCAGAACAGGCAGATGAGATGGAAGGTGGTGCAGACAGACAGAAGCTGCAATAGGAGGGGTCACTAACCCAACAGCCGGATGGGGTCTGAGGGCAGGGCAGCGAGATAGGACCCGAGGCGGGAGGGCAGGCGCGCACGCCGGGCCCGGCTTCCGCAGGGGGCGCTCGTCGCCGGGGCGTGGCCTCGCGCAGCCCCGCCCTCCTCGCCGGCGACCGGCAGGAGGGTGCCTCGCAGCGGCGGCGCAGACATGGCTGCGCTGGTGGAGCCGCTGGGGCTGGAGCGGGGTAAGCGCGCCCCGCGGCCCTGCCCACCCGGCCCCGGGTCTGCATCCCGATCTCCCGCCCCTCCCCGGGCAAGACCCGGGCAGGTGGGCGGGCCCGGCGGGGGTGGGCGGGGCGGGGCGCCGAGAGTCCGGCCGTCGGAGGGTGTGGGAGGGTCTGTGGGCGAGCGGGCCGGGGAGGGGGCGCCCGCTGCACGCACACCTCTGCGTGTGTGTCTGTGGGGATTCCGGGGACGCAGGACGCCCGACTGTCCGCAGTCTCTCCTCTGCCACCCGCGGCGACTCTGCGGGTGTCCGGCCAGGACGCGGCTGTTCTTCCCCGGGTCTGCGTTCGCCCTGACTTGATCTCTGGCCGCAATTTCTCCGTGTTCTCTGCGTCTTCGCGTCTCTGACTCTGTGTGTCTGTGCGCCCCGCCCCCGCCCCGCAGAAGTGTCCCGGGCGGTGGAGCTCCTCGAGCGGCTCCAGCGCAGCGGGGAGCTGCCCCCGCAGAAGCTGCAAGCCCTCCAGCGAGTCCTGCAGAGCCGCTTCTGCTCTGCCATCCGGGAGGTGAGAGCACCGCGGCCCCGGGGCACGGGGCGGGCGGCCGTGGTCCTCCTCCTGGTCGCCCCAAGCCGAGGGACTACGCCTCCCAGCAGCTACCGGGGCGGCCCTCCTGGGGCGGGGGTGGTGCCCGCGCTTCAGCTCAGGGGTTCTTCGGGAGTTGTAGTTTCCGCCGCTTCGGGGTTGCGGGGGCGGGGCGGACCCTTGGGTGGGAGGGTCTGCGGGCCTGGACGCCTGTGTTGAGGAGCTGGCCTGGCGGCTCCCTGAGGCGGGGCTGCGTCCTCACCAGGTGTATGAGCAGCTCTACGACACGCTGGACATCACCGGCAGTGCTGAGATCCGGGCCCACGCCACGGCCAAGGTAGGCTCCCCCACCCCATGGCTCATGGAATCCACTGAATCGCATGGTCCAGCTCAGCGTCTTCCTAAAGCCAGTCATTCCTCTTTCCTCCTTCATGATTTTTGCCATATCTATCTACCACCTTTACTAGTATTTATAATGTATTCTGATTAATCTCACATTTGTAGCTTCAATGTCATATAAAGGTATCTTTGAAAGTGAAAAGTGAAAGTTTTAGTCACTGAGTCCTGTTCCACTCTTTGTGACCCCATGGACTGTAGCCCACCGGGCTCCTCTGTCCATGGAATTCTCCAGGCAATTAGCAAGTACAATTAGAAACTAGTATGAAATGCCTGACTAGAAGATAACTTTAAACCTTTACACGATGAAAACAGTTTGGGTTAAACACTGAAATCTTACTAAATCACGGTTAGATGCTGTTTGCTTGGTCGAGGCTTGAGACTCTGTCCAGGCCTTTGTTTCTCTCTGTAAAAAAGTGAGATTGGCAAAAAGTGAGATTCAAGACACACACACACCAAACGGAGACTTTCTTTTTGACAGTCTGAAGTGTCCAAAGTGACTTAAAACGGACATCTTGTCACTACAGAGTGATCTTGCGTTGACTTGTGTGGCAGGCGCGCCATTCTTGAAGAAAGCTCCCTGGTCAAAATCCCTCTCCGGGGCAGGGGCCTAGCCTCCACCGGAATGCGCATGCCCGTTGTGGGGGGTCCTCACCTCCCAAGGCTTTCTCATTCCCAGGCCACGGTGGCCGCCTTCACAGCCAGTGAAGGCCACGCACATCCCAGGGTAGTGGAACTGCCGAAGACAGACGAGGGCCTGGGCTTCAACATCATGGGGGGCAAGGAGCAGAATTCGCCTATCTACATCTCCCGTGTCATCCCCGGGGGCGTAGCTGACCGCCACGGAGGCCTGAAGCGTGGGGACCAGCTGCTGTCAGTGAATGGTGTGGTGAGTTGGGGGCTGAGGCAGGGCTGGGGGTCATAATCTGCCCAAGGGAGCAGAGTCCCTGTTTTTCATATTCACTGAACACACTGACCACTGCCTCTGTGTCTCACCCTGTTCTGGGCTTTGCTGCAGACCCTGAGAGTTCCTGGGGGGCTTCCTAGGTGTCTCAGTGGTAAAGAATCCCCCTGCCAATGCAGGAGACCCTCGTTTGATCCTTGGGTCAGGAAGATCCCCTGGAGAAGGAAATGGAAACGTTCTCCAGTATTCTTGCCTGAAGAATCCCATGGACAGAGGAGCCTGGCAGGCTACAGTCCATAGGGTTGCAAAGAGTTGGAGGGCAGTTTAGCATGCACACATGCTGAGAGTAACTGGCCTCTGCTGCTACCTCCAAGGACACCCTCTCGGGTGAGGGAGATAGACTCTGGCTGAAATAATCCTAAACCAAGGAGATAATGAGGAAGCACAGAGCACTGTGAGAGCCAGATGTGGCACCAGACTACTGTAGATGAGGGATGTTTTTGGAGATTAAGGAACATTTGAGTTTGTTTGTTTTGGCTGCTCCAGGTCTTGGTTGCAGCACATGGGATCTAGTTCTCTGACCAGGGAGTGAACCTGGGCTCCCTCCAATGGGAGCACAGAGTCTTAGCCACTGGACCACCAGGGAAGTCCCCTTGAGTTGGGTTTTGAAGGATGAGTAGGTGTTGGTGGAGAAGAGTGTTAGGTTGAAGGTACTGTAGGCAGGGACTGTGACTCTGCAGTCCTGTGAGCTGAAGAGAAAGGGCTTGATTCTGATGGACTAGGGCGTGCAGATAATTAAAACCACTGTGGTTAGAGTAGAAGGAGGCAGAGCTAGATAGGTGGTTGGGGCCAGCCTGGGAGCACTGTGAGCAGTGGAAGGATAGGCTCAGCCTGGAGGTGTAGAAGGACCCCTTTGGGGCTCTGGGGAATAAGAGATGGGAGGCTGGAACACCAAGGATGAGGTTTGAGCTGGAGCCAGGTGGTGGGGACAAGAAACAGGGCAGGAGGGATGGACGGGGGGTCATCAGGCTTCGCCAGGGAGGAAGGGGATAAAGATGAGCTGTCTGAATGGCCCCTGCAGAGCGTTGAGGGCGAGCAGCATGAAAAGGCAGTGGAACTTCTGAAGGCTGCCCAGGGCTCAGTGAAGCTGGTGGTACGCTACACACCTCGGGTGCTGGAGGAGATGGAAGCCCGCTTTGAGAAGATGCGCTCCGCCCGGCGGCGCCAGCAACATCAGAGCTACTCGTGAGCCCTTTGCCACCACACCCCTGGGGCTCCTCTGCCTCCCTCATCCCCAGACTCCCAGACCAGGCCGGTAATTTCTGAGACACTGATTGCCACCCCCAGCCCTGGCTCCTTTCCCTGGGATTCTGACCCTTGACCTCGACTCTCACCCCAAGCCATTCTGACTACCTTGGGGCCCCCTACTTAGCTCACTCCCACCCCAAGATGGGGAACCTGCTCTTTTCGGAATCTCTCAACCCACTTCCCTGGGCTCTTGGCTCTGGAACCCCAATCCTGGCTCTCTCCCATGCCTACCCCTGTCCCCTCTGCTGAGCTTGGCTCCCCTCTCTTCACCCTCCTTTTAGGTCCTTGGAGTCTCGAGGCTGAAACCACAGATCTGGACCCTCACCCCCTCCCCTGTACAGTATTTATTGTCACCAACTCCTTATTTAAAGATCCTTGACCCTCATTGAGTGTCTGTGTCTGTCCTGCATCCAGGGGTTGGAGTGTCTGGAGATGTGGGAGAAGGGAGAGAAGCTGAGGTCGAGACCAGACACTTTTCAGGGTCTGAGAGCGGAACTTGAGAGTTTTTGCCAGGTCCGAAGACAGAGGCTGGCCGGCTTCCGGGCGATAAGTCCAGGATAGAGGCTGGGACCCAGTCTGGGTCTGAGCGCGGGATCAGAGCTGAAGACAACTCCCCCCAACCCTTCCGAGATTCTGAGGGCGGAAGCCAAGCCCCCTTTCTGTGTAGCTGGTCTGACAGAGGAGTCCTGAAACGCGCCAGTCAGTGGGCGGCCTCTGTGTGGGCGGGGCGGGGCGAACCATTAGCTTAGTCCGCCGGGGGAGCCGTGCCGGCCGCGCAATAGTCTGCGCGGGAGGTGGGGGTGCCACGTGCAGTTCCCGAGGCGGGCTCAGGGGGTGCAGAGTAAGGTGCACTCGCCGACCAGGCATTCACCCCACCTTATAACCCGAGCGCGTGTCTCCGGGAGCCGCCCCCATCTTAAAAGCCATCTTTTACTCCCACCTCGCCGCCCGCCCAACCCTCCTGTCCCGTGCGGCCCGAGGGCAGGCGCGCGCCACCGCCGGAATCCGGGGTCGCGACTGGCGTTCCACGCCGGGCGCCACTCGCTCCAGGTGACATCATCCCCATGCCGGGCTCCGCCTCCCGCCCCAGCCGCCTCACCCCGCATGCCTATTGGCCGACCCGCCTTAGCCCCGCCTCCCGCTCTCCGCCCGCGCGACCCCTCCCAGGCAGCGCGGGGGCGGGGCTTAACCGCCGGCCGGCGCCGACACCACCTCCCATTGGCCACTCGGCGCCGTCTGTCAGTCTCCTGTTAAAGGGGCCACAACCGCCCCAGCGCTGGTTGCTGGGGGGAGGAGGGAGGAGGAATTTTTTGGCGGGGGAAGGTGGGATTTGGGGGGCGCTGGTGAGCACCCCTAGATCTGGCGGCTGCGGCCTCGCGGGGGGAGGCTGAATGGTGACAGGGGCAGGGGGCTATTTTAGGGGGTAAAGGGCTGTTAGACGGTGAAGGGGAGGGGGTCCCCAGCGCCCAAGCCGGAGCAAGAGACGCGGAGCCCGCGCGAGCCGCGGAGACAGGGCTCCAGAGCTACAGATCCGGGCCCCGGCCGCCGCCAGGGGCCCCGCCCGGTCCCCCCACCCCACCCCCCACGTCCCTCCTGCAGCCCAGCTCCGCCCGCAGCCGCCGCGGACCAGGTAGGTAAGAGCCCAGCCCGGCCCTCCTGGCAGCGCCCACCCCGGGGACCCCTCGCCGAGCTTCCCCCGCCTCCCCGAGAACCTGGATTCTCTTCTCCTTCCCCGAGGACCTTACAGCCCAGATTTCACAGCCCGACCCCAGAGACTCAGGCGTGTCCCTCCCGGCTCTCAGAGTCCCCAACCGAACCCTGGGATCCCAGGCGTACTGCTGCCTTGCGCCTCCTCCAGGGCCCAGGAGCCTTAATTTCCCAGGTCAGCCCCGGGAATCCCCTCTGGACCAAGATCCTCCTCCTGGGCCCAGTCCTGGGAGATCGACACCGACCAAGGCTGTGTCAGACTCCCCCAGCTAGAGCCGCCGGCCCCCCCTCCCCCGGTCGTGTCCGCATAGTCCCCCATTCGGGGACCCGGTCAGCGCATCTCCGGTCCTTCGGCTTGTACAGCTGGCCGAGTCCCTCAGTCCAGGCCGGCTCAGCGGCCGCCCTGGACACAGGCCCGCTCTGGAGCTGTCCATGGTCACCATTCTCGGCAGCCTTGCCTCCCCCATCTCCTGCTGCCGCCGCCGGGGAGGGGGCGCCGGCGGCGCGGGGATCCCCCTCGCTGCGCCTTTGACCTGGGAATACCCAGGCCCTCCCCGACCTGGGCGCCTGGGCCTCAGGATTCCGCTGGCCAGGCTCTTGGCCCCATCCTTAGCACCCCAGTTGCAGTGACCCCAGCTGCTACTTGAGGAGTCGGAGCTTCTGAATGTTCTTGCCTGGTCCACCTTAGGGATCTTGGCAGCCGGGGATCCAGATCCTACCCGGCTCTGGGTGCCTTGTCAGTCCTCACTTCCTCTGGTTAGAGGCCACAGCTGGTAGCCTTTACCCCTTCAGGAAAGAATTCAGTTTCCCAGCCTTTGCCCCCTTTAGAGACCCAGTTCAAAGCTCTGTTCCCCTCCAATAAATATACTCAGCCTCCTGGCACCCCAGCATCTGCCTCCTTAGGGATTCAGGCGCCATGATTCCTCCCTTTCAGGGGCTCAGAATGCAATTCTTAATGCAATTCTCTGGCTTCTGCCTGTCCTCCCCCTTGAAGACCTAGATGCCTTGTCCCTGATTCTGCCTCCCCTCAGCGACCCAGGAGTTCAGAACCCATCTTCTGTACTGCCCATCAAAGTCATCTACCCCTGCCCTTCCTTCCAACAAGGACTCAGGCTCCAAACTTCCATCTCCTGTCTTTTGCCTCCACAAAGATTCAGGAGTCCAGTCCCCCAACTGTGACCTCCAAAGTATCTAGCTGTTCAGCTGTTACTCTTAGGAACCCAAGTCCCTACAGCCTCACTATTGCCCATCAACTCTGGTGGCCTTGAAAACCCCTGCCTCATCCCCATATCATCTCAGATTTTGGGTTTCCTGGGGTTTCCAATATTTCCCCTGAGACCCAGGTTCTTGAGATGCTTCCAGCACCCCATCATGATTTTTTCATATCGTGATGCCCCATCCTTCAAGTACATTCTCAGACTGATAAGCCGAGCATATATCCCTTCCTCCAGATGTGCTCTGTGACCTAGGTTCATTTCGTGATCTAGAATTGTCTTCCATATTTCCAACTAAACAGGCACCCTGGCAGTGCTTCGTGGAATTCTTTCTAAATCCTAGAATACTCCCAGTGAACATCTCTGTTCCTTTTTTACCCAAGGTATGTTCTAAATTCTAGGTTAGATGCTAAATTCGAGTCATGATGTTCCCCAGGTAAATTCAAATTTCTAGCTAGTGCTCCCAAGCCAAATTCTGATCCCACTTTCCTCCCCTTAGACATGTTCCTTCCTCCCTGCTTCACTTCCTCCCCCACAGATCTTAGTTCCCTGACCAGGGATCCAACCCAGGCCCCAGCAGTGAAAGTGCCTAGTCCTAACCACTGGACCACCAAGTAATTCCTGACATATTCCAATTTTTAAGAAGCCAGTCTTTGCTTATTTTTTTTTTTTAAATTTCATTTTGGGTGTGTTCTAGGTTCTAGCCACATCCTTGGCATTATTCTAGATTCTGTTCTTTTCCCAGGGGCATTCTCAGTGCTAGAATGTGTGTGTGTGTGTTCCATTTATGGGCTCTAGCTTTTCTCCAAACTGTGCTATCAGTTCTAGAATATGCTTCCGTATTTCATTTTATTTATTTTTGGGCTGTGCTGTGAGGTATGCGGGATCTTAGTTCCCCAACCAGAGATCGAACCTACACCCCCTGCAGTGAAAGGGCAGAGTCTTGACCACTGGACCACCAGAGAAGTCCCTGCACCTCCCTATTTCATATACCATCCAGTTCTACAGTCTTAAGTCCCCAGGATTATACTGCACCTTCCTTCTTCAGGTTCTGTATTCTAAGCCCATCCATCCCCACCTTCTCTATCTTTTCCCCTAGTGTGACCTTGGCTCAGAACTTGTCCCCTGGTGGATTGTGGGCTTCTTCCATCTGCCACTTCAGCATTCTAAACATGCTCTAGGCTCTCTCTTGTTCTGGAGTCTTCAGCCTAGAAATGTCCTCATTTCTAGAACACACCACCCCCACCCCCACCTCCTTTGCCAGCTCATTCCTTATGCCAGTAAATTCTCAATTACCAGAATGCCTCCTTCAGCATTCTCCCCCAGGCAGTTCCAGGCACACTTCTTGCTATTTTCTAGGTTTTTTTCTTTGCTCCAGGGCATGTTCTGAATTCTAGAGCAAATATTCTGCCCTTTGAGTTCTAACATTATCTAGACACATGAAGAAACCAAGAATGTGACCTCTGCTATATTCTGTGTTATACTTTCGTACCTGGTAGGTTCTGAGTTCTTGTTTATGTCTTCTAACTTAGGTTTGTTAAGCACTGCATTAGGTCTGTCCTTAGATATCATCACCCTCCCCTCTATGTTTGGGGTTCTAGGGTGAACCAGACACTCTTTTAAGTTATTGGATTGCTCTTGACTAGTTCAAGGTTCTAGACCTGGGTTCCAGAATATGCCCCTCTATTTGGTCCCATGTGAGGCTCTTACCCCAAGCACATTGTAAATGTGGAAGCATATATCCTTTCTGCATGCTGTACTGTGTCTTTCTAGATTCTACAGTTAACCTTGCTGAGTTTTGTTTCCTTCTCAGGGAATCTGAAGTTCTAGAGCAGCCTCCTGAAAACATCCCTAGCTGCATCTCATTAGTAGGTTCTGAGTTTTAGATACCATGCTGATTTTTTACTTAAGGCTGGCTTGCTCTCTTACAAACATTTTCTTGAATCTGACCTCTCAGTTGGGACTCAGATGTCTAGATTCCTAGATGTACCTCTTCAAAGACCCAAGGGTACAGGCACCTAGTTGCCTCCTCTCCCAGGTCCTGGGGCTCTCAGTCCCTACCTCTCCTCCCTGGAGTCCAAGGTTCCAGTCCCAGGCTGTAGATATAGTCCAAATATTGGGTGGGGCTGGGAATTATCCACTCTGAGAACCGGTTATTCCTCTGTCTGAAGGGAGAGAAAGAAAGGAGAAAACAGAGTGAAAGTCCCTCCTGCTTTCGGCTGGGCCAGCCAGACCCGTCTGACCTGATGTGAGCAGGGGGAGTGTCTCAGGAGAGCTCCCTTCATCCCCGCCCACGGCTCATGCACCCAGACTCCTGGGTCCTGGGGGCCTGGATTCCGAGGGAAGAGAAATCTGAAGGCTGAGATTTCTGGGTATACAGTTGGAGATTGAAAGCCCAGACTCTTGTGCCCTGGAAGGAGAGGGATCTGGTCTCTGACTTCCGGGTCTGGGGAGGAGAAGGATGGAGGCTCGGACTCCTCTCTCTGGGGGACAGAAGGGATAGGGGAACCTATATTCCTGTGACCAGAGGGAAGAAGTACCTGGATCTAGGATTCCTGTGTAGTGTGAAATAGCTAGCATGGTCCATGCCATCTTTTTTTCCTTCTGCCTGGAGTGAGTCTTTAGATTCTCCTGTAACTAGATATCTAGATATCTGGGCAGTTGAAGGAGGCAGGAATTGGGCTGAAGAGCAGTTGAGGACCATTCCTGTGACATTATACAGGTGACCCCTGTATATGACCAGTGTATATGACCCCTGTATATGACCAGTGACCTCTCCTGTGACCCCTGATTTTGTGACCTCCTGAAGACATAGTCTCCCTCTCCTGGGCCTGAGTTTTCTCATTCATACAGTGAGGTTGAAGGGAATTCTCAGCAGGGCCAGAATAGGTAGACTGATTTTCCCACAGTGCCAGTGATGGGCGGGGCTGGAGCCCCTTGCAGGGGTGGGATATGGACTGGAAGGGAGTGCCTGTGCACTCAGTCATGTCCGACTCTGTGGGACCCAATGGATTTCCCAGGCAAGAATACTGGAGTGGGTTGCCATTCCCTTCTTCAGGGGATCTTCTCCACCCAGGGATCGAACCTGTGTCTCCTGCATTGGCAGGTGGATTCTTTACCACTGAGCCACCTGGGAAGCCCTTGGGTGGGAGGGGAGGGGCTTCCAAGCTTTCCACTTTCTCTCAGGGAGTGGGTCACTCGGCCTTTGTTTCTCTTATTAGGCTGAGTCTAGATTTGCTGCCCGTTGTCAGATGAAGCCTGACCTCAGTTTCTCCAAGTGCTCTCACCTAGGTCTGGTTTCCTGAGAGCATTGGGTTTCCGTTTATCTTGCACCATGATCGGAATGGATGGGCCTCCGTTTCTGCTGTGCAGTTGCTTGGGTTGTCTAGCCTCAGTTCTCACTATGTAGTATCCCAGTGACCGTGCCTCAGTTTCGTTGCCTGCGCTTTGACGAAGCCGCTCTCGGTTCCCTGCCCCCTCCCGGTACACGCAGGCCAGCACCGCCGCCATGATGTGCGAGGTGATGCCCACCATCAGCGAGGATGGCCGGCGGGGCTCGGCGCTGGGCCCGGACGAGGCTGGCGGCGAGCTGGAGCGCCTCATGGTCACGATGCTCACAGAGCGCGAGCGCCTGCTGGAGACGCTGCGCGAAGCGCAGGACGGGCTTGCTACGGCGCAGTTGCGGCTGCGCGAGCTGGGCCACGAGAAGGACTCTTTGCAGCGCCAGCTCAGCATCGCGCTGCCCCAGGTCTGGGCGGAGCCAGGGCGGGGCCTGAGGGAGGCGGGGCCTCGGCTCGCGAGGGCAAGGGGGAGGGCGGCAGGAAGGGGCGGGACCTGACCTTTAAAGGAGGAGGGGCTTGCCCGTGATGGGCGGGGCCTAGGTCGCTTGAAGGGGCGGGACTTGGCCGAGAGGGGAGGGACTTACTCACCTCCCAGTCCTTTGGGGAGGAGGACTGGGGAAAGGAGATGAGGGAGATGGGGAAAGGATTGATCTGATTGTACAATTCTGCTCATCACTGGACAGGAGTTTGCGGCTCTGACGAAGGAGCTGAACTTGTGTCGGGAACAGCTACTGGAACGGGAGGAAGAAATTGCGGAGCTGAAGGCGGAGCGGAACAATACACGGGTGAGGCGTCTTGGGGGCGGGACTTAAGCGGGGTGGGTGGAGCCTTGGGTGTTAGAGCCTGACCCATCTTTTTATACCCTGTCTTGCCTTCCTTTCTTCTTCCTGCTTCCACAACTTGGGCGGGTCTCCGCTGGTCCCCTCCTTCCTTCATGTCCCCTCCCTTATCTCTAAAACTGTTCTCATTTTCTGTGCCACTTCTTCCTGACCGCCCCACCCCCTACCCGTTATCCCTCTCTTTTCCTGACCTGTCTCTCTTCACACCTCTTTACTTGGCTCCACTTCTTCCCTGTGTCTGCCCCACCTGTCTGAATCCTCTTCCTGCACTCTGCCTCTCTTCCCTTGACACTTTTCCTTGGCCTGGTGCTCTATCCTTGTAGCTTCTCCTAGAACACCTGGAATGCCTGGTGTCCAGGCACGAGAGGTCACTGCGCATGACCGTGGTAAAGCGCCAGGCCCAGTCTCCGGGCGGGGTCTCTTCCGAGGTGGAGGTACTCAAGGCTCTAAAATCCCTCTTCGAGCACCACAAGGCCCTGGATGAGAAGGTATGAGAATCAGAAGAGACTGCATGTAGAACAGAAACCTGTGGTCGGCTGGGGCTGTCTTGAATGGCAGAAATTCTGTGATTGGTTGGAGATAGCCCAAGTGGGAAGAATGTTGACTGTCTTGAAATTGAAACAGACTACTGCAGACAGAGACCTGATAATAGAAAAAAAGTAATGGGATAGGGTATACCAGTGTGAAGCTGCCTTTCTAGCTGGTTGGGGCTGCACACCTATTATAAATAGAGGAATGATAATGTCGTCCTGTCAGATTCATCCCAAGGTGTTCTGCATCAGCTGTCCTCGATTGGGTCTGATCTCCATCTCACTCGGTCTTGCCCCCATCCTCAGGTCCGAGAGCGGCTGCGAATGGCACTGGAGCGGGTGGCAGTCCTAGAGGAAGAGCTGGAGCTGAGCAATCAGGAGGTGGGGGTGTGGCCAAGAAGGAGGCGGGACTAGTGAACGACCAATGGGGTGGAGCCGATTGGGTGGGTCCTAGAATCTACTGGGGACAGGAGTAGGGCACAGGACCGGTAGGATTGAGCTGTGGAGAACCGGGTTTCTAAGGTGAAATTCACTGGGCAGGACTAAGGGGAGTGGAGGACCGCTCTGTGACAGTGAGACTAGGGTGAAAAGCAGGGCTGGGGGCGGCTAAGGGAAATAACCGACTTCGTAGGAAATGGTTGGGTGGGGTAAGTCTGGGCACAAGGACTTAACCTTAGGGTTAAGATTAAGGGTGGCTTCCTCTCTGGTGGGTGGCTAAGGAGAGAGATATGAGGACACGGGGCCTAAGGGTAGACTATGGGATAAGTGTGGCCCCAGCAGGACCAGAGCCAGTGGGAAGTAAAACGGGGGTTGTAGGACCCCCTTCACCCTGATCTCCCTTTCCTGTTGCCAGACTCTGAACCTTCGAGAGCAGCTGTCTAGGCGCCGGTCAGGGCTAGAGGAGCCCGGCAAGGATGGGGATGGGCAGGTAAGAGGTGGGCGTTTTTCCGTCTCCTTGCTCCTCACTGGCCCCCATCCCTGTGGTCCTACTCAGCCCCGTGACTTTGTGGTGGTCCCTTTAATGTTTGGTATGATTCTCACAGACACTAGGCCATCTGAATCCCTCAGACTCTAGCTGACCTTGACCTCTGATTCAGGTCAGCTAGCTAAATTTGTGATCCCCATGGCCTTTAACTGATCTTTGATTCCCTCTCACCCCCGTCAGCTTTCTCTTTGCATTCTATCTCTGTGTTACCCAATCTGAGTTCTGTGCCTTCCTCCCTCACTGTCCCCATTCCAGACTCTTGCCAATGGCCTGGGTCCTGGTGGGGACTCGAACCGGCGCACGGCAGAGCTGGAGGAGGCCCTGGAGCGGCAGCGGGCAGAGGTGTGCCAGCTGCGGGAGCGCTTGGCGGTGTTGTGCCGCCAGATGAGTCAGCTGGAGGAGGAGCTGGGCACCGCCCACCGCGAGCTGGGTAAGGCCGAGGAAGCTAACGCCAAGCTCCAGCGCGACCTCAAGGAGGTGAGGCCGGAGCCCCTGCTGGGCTGCCCTCTGTCCCTCCCCCCCCACCCTCCCTGTTCCCCTCTGCCCATAGTCACAGAACTCATGAACCTGGATTCAGTCCACAATGAGTGCGGATTCTTCTCCTCTCTGAGCCTGTTTCCTCACCTGTTAAATGGATTTATGGCCCTTGTCAGAGAGTTGGTACATGGCACATAAATGGTAGTCATCCAGTATCTGGTTGTAGTTTTTATGTTACCATTGGGAAATTCTCTCCCACCTCTTAGTTGAACTCCATTGGCTGTATTTCACCCCATCCTGGCTGAGGATCCTTGATCTTAACTCCCACGCTCCAGGGACTGCTGAGAAATGTAGGGCATGGATTCTTTAAAGCCCTGAATGAGAAAGAAGAGAGAGCACTTTTGTTTTCATCATCCACTGGGGCTTTTACCTCGGATTTGAAGTGTGGATGGCCCAAGGGCTTATTAGTAAGTGTGGTCCCACCACACCAGCTTCTAGGCAGGAGTCCATTCCCCATGAGATCCTGGAACACCTTCTCTGGTTTTATAAACCTGTGCTACCTTGGGAGGTCTTGGCAGATGTTGCCTCCCAGATGGAAGGGACTTTTGTTCTCTGCGAGACCCTAGGGCATTTGCTCTGTGATTCTAAATCTGAGTTGTGCCAGAAGTTGCTGAAAAATGTAAGACTTGGGTTTTTGAGTGGGCCAAGAAGAGTGGAGACTTTCCATCCCCTGGGCCTTAGGTCATCCATATGATAAGCCAATACTGTCCCAAAAGTTTATGGGAGGGGCTGTACCGCCATTTTATCTGTCAGGTGGCAGAGGGCAGGCAATGTAACGTTGGCTATTCTCAGGAGCTCTTGGCAGGTGTGGTTCCATCTTTCTGACGCCCAGATGGCAAGGGACTTCATTTCCCAGTGTACCCTGGGGTGCCTGAATTTAGGTTCTAAGCCTAGGCAACCCACAGGACCTTCTGAGAGCTGTAGTCCACGCGGTCCTTTGTCACCTCTGCAGGCGCTGGCACAGCGGGAGGATATGGAGGAACGGATCACAACGCTAGAGAAGCGCTATTTGAGTGCCCAGCGTGAGGCCACCTCTCTGCACGACGCCAACGACAAGTTGGAAAACGAGTTGGCCAGCAAGGAGTCATTGTACCGACAGGTGGGGGCCCAGCCGGGGAGGGGCGGTAGGGGCGAGGCTGTGGCCCATATGACCAAGCTCCTCCTTTCCCCTTGAATGTGTCCCCCAGAGTGAAGAGAAGAGCCGTCAGCTGGCCGAGTGGCTGGACGATGCCAAGCAGAAGCTGCAGCAGACGCTGCAGAAGGCAGAGACCTTGCCAGAAATTGAGGCCCAGCTGGCCCAGCGCGTGGTGGCTCTCAATAAAGTGAGGGCGGCCTGGGGCGGGGCCTTGAGTCCCTGGGGCGAAGGGGAGGAGCTTAGAAAAGGCGGGGCCTGGAATCTGGAGGGGTTGAAGACCAACAGCCTGAATTCAGATGGAAAGGGCAGGGCCTGGGATCTAGAAAGGGATGTGACTTAGAATGAGGGAAGGGCCTAGAGGTTTGGTAGGAGGTGGTCTCTGCTAAGTCGCTTCAGTCGTGTCCGACTCAGCAACACTATGGACTGTAAGCGCCCGCCAGGTTCCTCTGTCCATGGGATTCTCCAGGCAAGAATACTGGAGTGGATTGCCATTTCCTCCTCCGGAGGATCTAACTGACTCAGGGGTGTTTTCTAGTTTGGACTAAAAGGATGGGTGGGACCTGAAATGAGAAGGGGACAGAGCTTATAGAAGAGGGCAGGGCTTGAGATTCAAGTGCAAGGTTTGGAGTTTTGTGGGGGAGGAGCCTGGAGCTCCAGGGGCGGGGCCTGGAAGCCAGCCATGGAGGAGGTGGGGCCTGGGGCCTGACCGGGTCCTAGTGGGACAGTCAGATCCCATGGGTTCCAACTTCTAGGCTGAGGAACGTCATGGGAATTTTGAGGAGCGGCTTCGGCAGCTGGAGGCCCAGTTGGAGGAGAAGAACCAGGAGCTGCAGCGGGTGAGGGGGCTTTGAGGCTTGGGGGATGAGCCTTAGATGAGGGGGTGGGCTGAAGAGGGTGGGAGCTGGGAGCAGGGGCAGTGCTCAGGGCTCCAGTACCTGTGCCCTGCTCTCCTCTGGGCAGGCCCGGCAGCGGGAGAAGATGAATGATGACCACAATAAGCGGCTGTCTGAGACAGTGGACAAGTTGCTGAGCGAGTCCAACGAACGCCTGCAGCTTCACCTCAAGGAGCGCATGGGGGCACTGGAGGAGAAGGTGTGCCCCAATCTAGGACTCCCATAACCTGGAATCGTGGGGCCCCAGGCCTTTCCCCAAACCATTATGTGAGATCTCCCCAAATCTAGGCATCCCGCATTCGAATTTGACAGACTGCTGTATTGCTGGGACCAGCACTATCTCACCCGAGCACCCTAGGGCTGAATTCTGGGGCACCTATACCCTGAATTCTTGGTGTTTCCCCAAGCCTATAACCCTATGGACCCTCAGACTCTGAATCCACTGAAATTACACAGGATGCTGAATTCTGGGGTCCCAGAGACTCCCGCCTCCTCAGCAGCATCTTCACAACCCTCTTCTCCTCCAGCTCACCATTCCAGCTTACCCATTACCCTTGGGGGTCCCCTCAGGCCTGCCTCTATGCACTGGAAACTGCTTCCAGGGTCAGGCCCCTCACTGCACCCCTGTTCCCCTACAGAACTCACTAAGCGAGGAGATTGCCAACATGAAGAAGCTTCAGGATGAGCTGCTGCTCAACAAGGTAGGGAGGAGCCTGGGGGGTGAGGGCCAGAGAAACAGAGCAGGCGTTGCTGGGGTTGGAATCAGCCTGGCTGGGAGGGGCCGATCTCAGAAGGGGGCAGATTCTGACCTGGCCTCTCCAACCTCCTCCCCCAGGAGCAGCTCCTGGCTGAGATGGAGCGGATGCAGATGGAGATTGACCAGCTTCGGGGGAGGCCACCGTCGTCCTACTCCAGGTGACAGTAACTTTACTGTGTCCACGGGGCCCCCTTGGCCAAGCACATCCCTTCTGCCTCCCAGGTCTCCCCATCCCCCTCCCTGTCCGCCTGAGACTTCCACCAGCCCCTCTTATTTTTGACCCCTGACTTCATGATCTCTGGCCCCAGACCCTTTTTTCCTGACTTTTTAACACAAGATCCTTTTTCCAGTCCTCCAACCCCAAGCCCTTCCACATGACCACTGACCTCTATTTCCTTTTCCTGACCCCTTGATCTCCACTCTCTCTGTGCCCACAGATCTCTCCCTGGCAGTGCCCTGGAGCTCCGTTACTCTCAGGCACCCACCTTACCTTCTGGCGCCCACCTGGACCCCTATGGGGCTGGCAGTGGCCGAGCAAGCAAGAGGGGCCGCTGGTCAGGGGTCAAGGATGAGCCCTCTAAGGTCAGCAGCCACTTCTGGGGCCTGGGCTGAGCAGGGCCTGGGAGGGCAGTAGTAGGAGGTGGTGCCCAGTATGCAGGGCTCTGGGCGGGGACTAGTTGAGAAGTAAGGTTTCCTGGACCCACACTGTCTTCTCTTCTTCCATCATCCCCACTTGCCTTGATGTCTCCTCATGTGGATGTCCTGCTGCCTGGTGAGAACTTTAGAGGAATGATGGGCTGGGAAGAGGGTTTTGGGGGAGATGATATGCAAGGTGTAGAATCCTAGCATGGATGGGGCTAAGTGAAGAAAAGAAGTGGGCTGGGTCAAAGGAAACAGTGGACTCAGGGGAGGTTGTGGGGGGGTGTCAGGGGTGATCAAAAAACGGGGCCCACCAAGAAAGAAAGGTGGGCTTGGGAAACTGTGGGGACTGGATCACAGGGTGAGGGCAGTTAGTGTCAGCGGACGTGGGCAGGGTCATAGAGGGTGGGAAAGGTCAGAAGCAGTGAGGGAAGACCCAGCATCTATCTTTGGCCCCTGTCCACCTGTCATCCTTCTGTCTTCACACAGAGACAGGAGTGGGAGAGGTCTGCCCCTGCGGGGTCGATGCCACCTCCATTCCCTGGCGAGCTGGATGGCTCAGATGAAGAGGAGGCCGAGGGGATGTTTGGAGCTGAGTTGCTGTCCCCCAGCGGGCAGGCTGATGTTCAGACACTGGCCATCATGCTTCAGGAGCAGCTGGAGGCCATCAACAAAGAGATCAAGTGAGCACTGGCCCAGTTCTCTCTCGTCCTACCTGAGCTAAGTCCACAGCCCCTCTAGCTCTGGAGACTGATCTGAATACCTAAGCCCAACTCCTTTCCTAATCATCCTCAAGGAGTTCTCCCAGCCCAACACTATTCAGGAATCCCTGAGGAAATACCCAGAAGTCTCCTATGTGCTATTTATGCATTATACACCACCCCACCCCCAAACAGTACTCACAATTTACTCAAATACATAAGACTGCATCCTCAGATACCAAAAATCAAAATCCAATCCAATCCATCAAGAGTCCTCCATTATATCACAGCTTTCATGACTTCAAGCAACCATTACCCAGAGACTCCTTGTACCCTAAGCATCTCAACACGAGGTCCCCAATCCTAAACACCTTAAGAACCTCAACTCTAGATAGCAAGAATTTCTACCTGATAAAACAAAAATCCTCAGTTTATTAAGACTCCCCCCTCACATAAAGTCTACTTGGATTCCCCAGCAATTCTTAGCAATTCTCTGATAACACACTTTGCATGGGCCCCAGCAAACACATCAACCTGACCACCATCTTCCATTCCAACTCATTCTGACTGGAGATATTGACTCTCACCAAATGTCTCTATGACCTTCCCAGATCCCAGATTGACTTCAGAGTCCCTGATCTCACCTTTCTCTTATTGTGAGCTTGCTCTTTCTGTCCTCCTTAGAACTTGACCTCTTGCCCAGGGTCATCCATTTATGATTTTCCAGAGCTACTTGGTCATCATCAGGGTCATCCTGAGGCACACTCTGGTCATCCTGTCATCCCTAATCTTTCCACGACCTCCCGAGTATAGCATGGTCCCTTGACTCCCTTGGAACCTGTGAAGCCATCAGGGATCCACCAAGATCTCATTGTTTCTTCCCCAGAATTACTTTTGCTCCATCAAGCCTTCCTGGTCCATTGGGATCCTCAGACTCCCCCTTTAGGACATGCAATGCAGCGTGTGGGATTTTAGTTCCCCAACCAGGGATTGAACCTGCATCCTCTGCATTGGAAGCATGGAGTCTTAACTTGTGGACCACCAGGGAAGTCCCCCCAGGCTCCCTCTCCTATTGCCTGCCTCTGTCCTCTCATCCCATCTCCCCATTTGCCTCCTCAGGTTAATCCAAGAGGAGAAGGAGACAACAGAACAAAGGGCAGAAGAGCTGGAGAGCCGGGTGTCAGGCTCTGGCCTGGACTCATTGGGCCGCTACCGCAGTAGCTGCTCACTGCCCCCCTCCCTCACCACCTCTACCCTTGCCAGCCCCTCCCCTCCCAGCTCTGGCCACTCAACACCCCGTCTGGCACCCCCTAGCCCTGCCCGTGAGGGCACCGACAAAGCAGTGAGTATTCTTAAGTCTCCTCAGCTTGGTGGTGGTGGTGGTGGTGGGAGGTCATAAACAGGGCTCCCTAACAAACAGCAACAATAATCATCACACCAATGATAGCAACCTTAGCTTCTGCTAAAAGCTCAACTCAAAGGGCAAAGGAGGACTTCCCTGGTGGTCCAGTGGTTGGGAATTCACCTGCCAGTGCAGGGGACATGGATTTGATCCCTTCTCCAGGAAGATTTCACATGCTGGGGGGAGGCCAAGCCTGTGCACCACAACTGTTGAGCCTGTGCTCTAGAGCCCATGCACCACAACAAGAGAAACCACTGCAATGAGAAGCTCATGCACTGCAACTAAAGAGTAGCCCGTGCTCACTGCAACTAGAGAAAGCTTATGCACAGCAATGTAGACCCAGTGCAGCTAAAACTAAATAATTTTTAAAATTTAAAAAAGGGGGCAAAGGGGAGCCTGAGTCACTGGATTCCTGAACCCTAACTTGTACTTTAGCCAGATCTGTTCTACTTTTACTTACTTTAGGCATTAAATTTCTGCATAGGATTTTTATTTATTTTTTGGCCATGTCATGCAGCTTGCTGGATTTTAGTTCTCTAACCAGACCCTGGGCTCCAGCAATGAGAGCACCAAGTCTTAACCACTTAACCACTGACCACAGAATATATATATATTCTGTGACTAAATATACATTTGAGAAATATCATGATAGCCTAGAATTGACCTTAGAGGCAGGCACAAGAGCTATAACCCTGTTTTATTGCCTTAAACTCAGCTTTCCTATTTTCAGAACTTGTAACTCATTAGATTTCCTTGAGACTGAGCAGATCCCACTCCTGACACCAGAAGCTAAGATAGTAGAAATATGGGCTCATCAAGCTCCAGAGGGACTGCAGTTATTGCCTTTATATTTCTGTAATTCACTCCCACTTAATCTATCCTATCTCTAGAAGTGATAGTCCAAATCAGGGGTATCCTGGACACCTGGTATACCTCCCAATTAATGAGGAGCCCCCAACATGATCCCTCCGACTCAGTGTAGCAACTCTGCCTCTCTACAGAACCATGTCCCTAAGGAGGAAGTTGTGGCTCCCCGAGGGGAGGGGCCGGCAATCCCAGGAGACACCCCACCTCCCACTCCTCGCTCTGCCCGCCTTGAGAGAATGACGCAAGCCTTGGCACTGCAGGCGGGATCCCTGGAGGACGGCGGGCCATCACGGGGAAGGTCAGTAAGAATAAGGGACGAGACAGGGAGGGACTTGCTTGGGAGGAGGAGATGGGAGCGAACAAAGACTAGAGATGGGATCTACCTTCACTCTGTCCTGCTCACCCAGTGAGGGCACCCCAGATTCCCTGCACAAAGCTCCCAAGAAGAAGAGCATCAAGTCATCCATAGGCCGTCTCTTTGGCAAGAAGGAGAAGGGGAGAATGGGACCACCAGGTCGGGACAGCTCTTCTCTGGGTGAGTCCCGATTTCCTCCCCCTTTTTTTATTCCTTCCTTCCTCCTTCTTTACATATTCACTTGACATACAACCCTGTCCACAATCATTTGGTAATGCATTTGTCCACAATCATTTGGTAATGCATTTTGAGCACTGGAACCTTGGCAGAAGTTGGGAGGAGAAGGGGCAAGAAGGGCACTCTGAGGCCTGCCTGAGTGACTGTTGGACAAATGAATTTTTTATTTCATTTACTTGTTTTTTTAAATGGAGTGGAGCTTGCTTGTCTGACTTGTGAAATCCAAGTTAGTCAAATTTTCAGAAATTTTATGAGCTGCTTTGACATCACATTTTGTGGCCTGAAATTGGTGGGATTATTTACACCATGGAAATTGGCAAATGCTACCAATCAGGAAATACCTCTTCTTCCCCAGGAAGCCAGTTGTTAAGTATTTAGCAGCATACCCCTGCCACCTTACCAAGGCCAGTCCAGTGAATCAGCTCTATTTGGGGGATTTCTCCAATTCTTTGCCTAGGAGGTGACATTGGTTCCTGTGTGGTTTTATCACTCCCTCTGTGTGGCCTCATTTACTAATCCCTCTGGGCCTCTGCTTTCCTGGCATCCTTTTCAACCCCCCAGCATCAAAGATTCTGCCTCCCCTCTGAGGCTCTCCAAATTTTGGCCCCTCCCTGCCTCCAGCTGGAACACCCTCAGACGAGACACTGGCCACTGACCCTCTGGGGCTAGCCAAGCTGACGGGCCCAGGAGATAAGGACCGAAGGAACAAGAGGAAGTGAGTGTGGGTGTGTGATGTGTGTGCAGGGGAGGGTTGGTCATAAGAAAATTCTGGGAAGGGGTGTTCAAGATCCTGAACTTGTTTGGAAATTTGGGAACTCCTAGAGGGTTGCTTTTTTTTTTTTCCTCCTCTTTTCATTTGTTTGGTGTGTGTGTACATGTGTGTTGAGGGAGGGGGATTACAAAGAGTCACGTGTTTCTGTTTTTAACCTTCTGCCATGTATTCTACATTCATAAAAGTTGTTTTTGTGGAGGTGGGGGGAGCAGTTGGTGAAGGGAGCCATCCGAGAGGGCTAGGTGTCTCTACCCCTGAGACCTCCTGCCATGGCCCTCTCTCTTCAGGCATGAACTTCTGGAAGAGGCCTGCCGTCAGGGCCTGCCTTTTGCTGCTTGGGATGGGCCCACTGTGGTCTCCTGGCTAGAGGTACTGGGGTCCAGAAATGTCCTGACTCTTCATCCCCAATCCCTCTGACTGGGGGGATGGCTGACCCTGTGCCATCCTCCTCGCCCAGAGGTGTCAGGGGAAGGGAGTTGGGGGGTGAGGCCCTGGGAGGGGTCAGGTTTCTTGTGGACCTTCCTGTTGCTTTTTTTTCCCCTTCTCCCCTCACCCCTCACCACGCCCATCTTGGTCCTATTGTCTCTTTCTTTGTGTCTTCCCATGCCTCTGTCTCTGGGATTCTCTTTCTCTATTTTTCTGCCTCTCTCCTCATCTCTGTGTTTTTGTCATTCCCCATATTTCTTCCCATGTCTCTCTCCCAATGTGTTTTGCTTCTTTCTCTCCGCCTCTCTGCCTCTCATCTCTGTCTCTCCCCATCTCTCTCTTTCCCCTCTGACTCTGGGCTCACCCATCTGACTGTCCTCCTTCATCTCTTTGTGTCTCTCTCTGCCTCTTGATCTCTTTGCCTCACTCCTGTCTTTCTGTTTCTCCCCACTTGCCTTTCCCCACCTCTCTGTCTCCCTCTCCCCGTTTCCTTCTGTCCTTCTCCCATTTCTCCTGTGATATATCTCCGTCTCTCTGTCTCATACCCCCCCCCCCACTTTCTCCCTCTGGTCCAGCTATGGGTAGGCATGCCTGCGTGGTACGTGGCCGCCTGCCGGGCCAATGTCAAGAGTGGTGCCATCATGGCCAACTTGTCAGACACGGAGATCCAGCGTGAGATCGGCATCAGCAACCCACTGCACCGGCTCAAGCTGCGCCTTGCCATCCAGGAGATGGTCTCACTCACCTCACCCTCTGCTCCTGCCTCCTCTCGCACCGTGAGTGTCCAGGGCCAATGCCAGTCCCTGCTGTAGGCCCTGTCTACCATCCTCAGAGTAGCCAATCCTGAGTCCGCTCATTCTAGCTCTGTCTTGTCAGATACACCCTGCTCTGCACAGTCTCTCACCTGGACTGTCTCTGAGGGTGGGACACCCTTCAGGTCTCCCTGCCTCCCCTCTACTTCCAAGCCTCAGTCTGTCTTACACACCGCAGCAGAAGGATCCTATCCCGGAGAAAAACCCAAATTCATATGGTTCTCTGCAAGTCTCATGATGAGGGGCCCCTTCCCCAGCTCCTTTTCAACTCTGCTCCTTGACACTTGCTGCTCCCTTTTCCTGGAGCACCCGTCCTTCTTTTTTACCTCCAAGGCTGGCTCCTGAGGTCTCAGCTCAAATGTCACCACCTCCAAGAGGCCTCCCTAACTCAACAGCTAAACTAGTCACCGGCTCCATCATACACCAACACCTATATTTTTTTTCACCCCATGGCATTTACTGCCTTCTAATATTTTATCATTTTGTTCCATACAGAAAATTATGTGTTCCCATGGCTAATTCGGCTCCTCCAGGAGCACGACTGTCTTCCCCCTCCCCTGTCCAGAAGCTTTCTCCCAACCTCCTTACACCTCTTGCCCCTCAGTCCACAGGAAACGTGTGGATGACACACGAGGAGATGGAGTCCCTGACCGCGACGACCAAGCCTGTGAGTGCCCCCTGCCGGTGGCCTTGGGGGTGGCACTAACTTTCCCTGGGCAGGGGCAGGGTGGCGGGTGAGTCTGTGGCTGTCTGTCCGTCCGTTCGTCCCTCCCGCCCTCCTCCGCCTGCCCCTTAACCCACCCCTTCTCTCCCCTCTTCCCACTAACTGGTCAGGAGACCAAGGAGATCAGCTGGGAGCAGGTAGGGGGCGCGGGGCGGGTCGTGGGCGCATGAACAGGCTGTGCACGCTGCATGGACGCCCCTCCTTCTCCGAGCCCCGCCCCGCCCCTCGCTGGAGCATTCCATCCTCACCGCGGGGGGCGCTGCGCGGAGCTCTGCTCTGGGCTGTCACTGTGGCTTGGTGGGGTCGGTGTAGAAGCCCGACTGTTCCATTGTCAGTGGTGCACGGGTCATCCCATTATGGTTGGTTGCGCGGGCTCCAGGGACTGTTTTATTGCTGTAACTAGAGGGAAACACTGAGCGGCTCTTTGCCCTACGGCAGAGGGAAGTGGGGCTGTTCCACTGTACTGGGGCAAAAGGGAGAGCATTTGGGGCGGGGCGGGGGGCTGGGCAGGGGTACATCAGGCTGAGAAGTTGGGTAGAAGGAGGTACATTTTATTCTCAAGAGAGCAAGAGGTATGAACTCACCTGAGGTAGAGGAGCTATGTTGGGTCTTTGTTTCCAAGAGCCCAAGGTATGGATTGTTTCCTCATGCTGGGAGGAGTGAAGGACTTGGGGTGGATCCAGAATATTGTCCTGGGCCAGATGTAGCATCGGGCTAGTAGTTTTGGGACAGCGCAAGAGTGGTAGATGAATCTGTTGTCCTTTGTTGGGGAGGTAGCTATGCTGGAAGAATCTGTTGTGCGGAGTTGGAGGAGTAGTGATATTGGACTGATCCATTGTTCTGAGTTGGGACGATGCTAGACTAGTACTTCTTTTTTTTTTTGGACTAGTACTTCTTAAATGTACTGTTCACATCACCTGAGGCTCTTGGGAGAATGAGGATTTTCATTCAGTAGCCTAGGGTCTGAGATTCCGCATTTCAGCAAGTTCTCAAGTGATAATGATGCTTTGAGTAGACAAGGGTCTGTGAGGTCATTATGAAGGAGAGGGAAACAGTTTTGGATTGCCCGTTGTCCTGAGCAGAGACTGGCCGTTGTCCTGCTATGGGATGGAGAAAGAACAGCCTTGGATTTGGGAGAGAGGGGGTTGGACTGTACCCTTTCATACACACATGGGAAGGGGTCAGAAGGCCTGACTGCTCCCCCACCTGCCCACGGCCCCAGATCCTGGCATATGGCGACATGAATCACGAATGGGTGGGGAACGACTGGCTGCCCAGCCTGGGGCTGCCCCAGTACCGCAGCTACTTCATGGAGTCGCTGGTGGATGCCCGAATGTTAGATCATCTTAACAAGAAGGAGCTCCGGGGCCAGCTCAAGATGGTGGACAGCTTTCACAGGTGAGGTTGCCTGGCTAGTGGCAATAGTCCAAGTGGGGGAGGCCCCCACTTCTAGAGAGTCTTTGGCGAATAGGACCAGTGATGTGGAATTCATCTTGGACTATCTTTGGTCCTTTAGCCTGGATTGTTAGGAAATCCAGACTCCTGTGCCCCTTCCACTCATTAAGATGGCCCACTAGGAATTGTCCAAGTCCTGAGACAGCTTGGCTAGTTGACCCCATACCCCTTACAGGTTGGCTAACAGGAACTGCTTTTTTAAAAATATCCCGGCTCCTGGGAAGGTCAGCTATCAATAGAACAGATCCAGTGGAGCAATTCCCCAGCCTCTCCCAGAAAACCACAAGCAACAGGGAAAACAGTCACTGGGGTTGTGGGGGCTCTTCTGTGACTCCGCTCTCTGCTACTCAGGGTGAGTCTGCATTATGGGATCATGTGCCTGAAACGGCTCAACTATGACCGGAAGGACTTGGAGCGGAGGCGGGAAGAGAGTCAGACCCAGATCCGAGGTGAGTAGAAAAGTAGACCTGGGAGCCATGTGGAGGGGTTTGGGACAGGGTTGGAGGAGGCATAAACAGGGAAGGGGAGGGAGGCCAGGAGAGACGGGGTGGAGATAGGAAGAGGAAATGGGGTTGGAGATATGGGATAAATGAGAAGGGCCAGGCCCCAGGAAGGGTGCAACTGAGGGTCCCTTCCATCCCCAGACGTGATGGTGTGGTCCAATGAGCGGGTCATGGGTTGGGTGTCCGGGCTGGGCCTGAAGGAATTCGCCACGAACCTCACGGAGAGCGGGGTGCACGGGGCACTGCTCGCCCTGGACGAGACCTTCGACTACTCCGACCTGGCCTTGCTTCTGCAGATCCCCACGCAGAATGCGCAGGTGAGCTTCCGCCGGGCCCGGGGCACACTGGGCATCCCCATTTTGCAGACTGCACGCTGCAGCCTCTCTCCCACCTCTCCCCTGCAGGCCCGGCAGCTCTTGGAGAAGGAATTCAGCAACCTCATTTCCTTGGGCACAGACAGGCGGCTGGATGAGGTGGGCGCAGCAGCAGCAAGCATAGGGTACTCCACACTCCCAGCGGCCCCTCTAGGCTCGCAGCTGAAGGGGTGGGGCTTGACTTGGCCAAGGAGTCGCGATTGGAGGTGGTGCCAGGGAAGGGGCGGGGGTAAAGGAGCGAAGGGAGCGGGAGAGGGGTGGGGTCAAAAGGAGGAGCGAAGTCGGAACGCGGCCCTAGTCCCTCACTAGCTGGCTGCACCCCTATACCTAGGACAGTGCCAAGTCCTTCAGCCGCTCCCCATCTTGGCGGAAGATGTTCCGAGAGAAGGACCTCCGAGGCGTAACCCCCGACTCAGCTGAGATGTTGCCCCCCAACTTTCGTTCGGCCGCAGCAGGGGCTCTAGGCTCGCCGGGGCTCCCTCTCCGCAAGCTGCAGCCGGAAGGTGGGCGGATCCCAAATGGGACAGCCTCTGCTCACCTCCCCTTCTTAGATGTCGGGGGAGGGACCATCTCCGCATTCCAGCATCCTCCCCGGGTTCTGAGATGGTCTAGTCCCTTTTTCCCCACCCACGACAAATGGACCGCTCCAACAAGCCAACTCCCTCCTCAGGGTGTGGAATGGATTAATCCCATCATACCCCGTTTTTCTGGGTGGGAAATGAACTCGTCCAGTGTCACCTGGGGCATTTTGAAGGAATCTGAGGCTTTGAGAAAGGAATGGAAACTGGCCTGGAGGGAGTCAGGCGGTCGTTGGCTTCTCGGGAGGGGGAATCCAAGGGAGGACGCTTGGGTGGAGGAGGAACTGGGCGGGTGTGTGTGCGCTTTACTGAACCAATGGTCACTGGGCCGATGTGTGTGTGTTTGTGTGTGTGTGTGCGCGCGCGCGGGGGGGCTTTTGCGCTTTGCTGAACCAATGCTCATTCTCCCTCCAGGCCAGACTTCTGGGAGTTCCCGGGCAGATGGCGTTTCTGTCCGGACCTATTCCTGCTAGTGTAGGCTTCCAGGTGAGGACCGTACTGGGCGATCTTGGGGGATCGGGGCGGCACAGTGGATCTTCACGCCTGGCGTCAATGCAGGTGACCTCACTCGGACGGAAGAACCCTTCAGAGGCTGGGCTGTTTCCCTTCCTGCCCACAGTATGGTCTCGCCGGGGAGAGTTTACTGGGGAGCTCGCGCCGCGGACTGGACCATCTGTACAGACGAACGGGGGATGCTGGTCCCCGCCTCACAAATGGACTGGGCCTGGACCAAACCACATGCACTGGACTGAGAGGGGGGAAGAAGAGGGCAGGAAGAAATCCCGCCCCAAACTTCCGCCTCCCTTTCCTCTACTTTGTAATTTATTGATCAGTTTCCGATGGGAGATGGGTGCCCTTCCCCCGCGGGAAGGGGGCGGGGCTTCCCTCCCGGGCCGCATGCGGGGAGAGGCTGACCCCTCCTCTTTCTTCTCAGTTGCGGGGCCCAAGTCCTCCTTCTTCGTCCGAAAGGAGGGGAGGGAGGACTCGCTGCTAAAAGCCTCGCCCCTTGTGCCACTCAGCCCCGCCCCGCCGCATCCCGTCGCCGGTGCCTGGGGTCAGCTGCGGGCGGGGTTCCCTCTCTCTCCCCAGTGTCTCGTGTCCCCGAGGCCCCTCCGCCCCCCGTGCTGTGGCCGTGTCCGTGCCCCGGTGGTACGGGGTGCAGAACTGCGCTCCCCGTTCCGCTCCGGCTCCGGGGTTTGCATGGGAGAATCCTCTTTCCACGATGCCACTGGGCGACGTGGCGTGGGGGGAGGAAGGACGGTGGGGGAGCCCTCGCCCCCGACTCTTGGTCGGCCTCCCTGCCCCAGGCGTCACTCAGTGATCACGGGTAAAGAGAACTGTTTCAAAAAGCTCCCGTGTTGACTGATTTATTTATCAGGACCTAGCAAACCAAACACCTCGAGGAGTTCAGGCCCCTTCTCCCTCAAACCCACGACCCCACGCCTGACAGTGAAGTCTCCGGGAGCACGTTTATTCAGAGAAATAAATATGGCTCGTGGAAAGGGGTTGGAGGGCCAGGGAGGTATGTCTGCGCCGCAGCCGCGAGGCTGGGTCAGGGTTCCGGAGTTTCCAGCATGTCGGCCAGGGCTCTGGAGAGAAGGACGCAGAGATTGGACAGTCGAAGTGTCCCTAGCTCACCCCATGGCGCTTAGAGGTCCTTAACCTGCCCGTTTCACCAAGGGGGAAACAGAATCCCAGGGTTGTCCAGTAATTCATAGCGGGACAGCACCTTTCTAAAGGAGCCCTCAAACTTTCCCTTCCATATACTTACTGGTACAGGGACGAGGAGAAATAGTCGACGTAGCTTCCTGTGGGAGAGAAGAGGCTTGAGGGGTACACCACGGGTGAATTTGGGGGTCACTTTCCCCTCAGTCCAGGATCAGGACTAGCTCCGCCCGCCTTTCTGGGTTCCTTCTCCCAAATGAATCCCTTCTTCTGGGACACCTCTGAAGGGCCCACTCCTTCCCTTGGCTCTGGGTGTTTCAGGAGCCCCGTTCTTGCTTTGGCCGCACCCTCTCGGCTCTAGGCTCGCCCCTCAATCCTCTAGGCAATCCTAACCCCTCTAGCTTTGGCTTCTTCCCCCAACCTTCCTTCTGTGCAGGCCCCACCCCTCGGTGCCCCTCCCATTCCCATCAAAGATGCCCCGCCTCGGCCACGCCTCCCCACATAGCCACGCCCACAGCCTTCCGGTCCCCTCCTCGGGTTGGCTCCGCCCCCACAGGCCCCGCCCCTTCACCCGGTTTCCTCCTGGGCCCCGCCCATGCTCACCGGGAGAGCAGAGAGTTTCGCAGACCAGCGGGCAGAGGTAGCAGAACTGACAGTGCTGGGGGTGAGGATAGGGAGAGAGAGGTAGGAGGTGGTCAGGGGCGGAGGAGACTAGCTAGGTGGAGGTTAAGGTCAGAGGTGGGTTGGGTTTGGAGTCAAGGCTACATCAAGAGTAAGGGGTTAGGTCAGGTTGAGGGCAGAGGCCAGGATTTGGGGCCGGGGGTGCTCAGCTGGTACCGGGCCATCCTGAACCTGGGGCATCCTTGAGTCTGGGAGAACGCTCACCTGGCACTGGTCGCAATGCTCTCCCATGTTCTCCTCGTCACAGTGGCAGTTTTCACATTCAGTGCATCGCTGGGGGCCAGAGGAGCCAGGTGAGATGGAAATGTTTGGGAGCCGTCCAGGTCCACCAGTGCTCCACCCAGCCTGCCGGACGTTTCCCCAACGTCTCGGCCTCCTCACCTCCAACACTGAGCTCAGTCATCTTCCCCCAACCGGCTTGCCACCCTCTGGTTGCCCTATTGCAAGGTGCTGCAACATCACCTCGTTACCGTGGGCTGGACGTTCGGGTGGTCTCTTCACCTGCTTCCTCCCTGCTCCCCCCACAAGCGGTCAGTCTCCAGTCCTGTCCCACCTCTCCCCCCCGCCCCCCGCCCCAGGCTCTGCCTTGCACCCTCCTCCCTGTCCCCGGGTCTGCAAGTGCAGCTCAGGCCTCACCCTCCCACTCTTGGACCACTGTCCCAGCCTCCTCCCCAGCCTCCTGGCCTCCAGTCTGCCCCCCAGGTGGCCCCAGAAGTGTCTTTGTTCATTCAGAACTGTCCCTGATTCTCCTTTGCTCACGACCCTCCCAAGGCACACCAGAGCCCTGGAACAAAGTCTAGGAACAGCTTGGTGGGTGGATCTGGCTTGCGGACATACATTGCAGAAGGAGCAGTAGCCACACAGGGACCCTGGCTGGTAGTTCCCATACTCCTGGGCATCCTGCTGACCTGTGGGGACAAGACGGCAGCAATGACCCAGGCTGACTCCGCTCCTCCCCACCCCCAACCAGTCAGATCACTTACCCATGTCCTCGCCACTCTCCTCCTCACTGGAGGCCCCTCCAGACACCTCCTTCCTGGTCAGCGGGTTGGGGATGATGGTGAAGGGGAGTTCATCTTCTCCTAGCCCCGCCTCCTCATCATCTTCCTCCTGGCGGTCTTGGTTCAGCGGGACCCAAACCTCAGCTCTCTCTTCTCTCTTTTCCTCCTTCTCTTCCTCCTCCTCCTCTTCCTCCTCCTCCTGACTCAGGCTGAGGCCATGCCCTTCCTCCTCGTCTTCCTCATCCTCCTGGTCATCCAGGCTGCCATGCGGGGTGCCTTCTCCTCCCTCCTCTGAACCTTCGTCAGCTTCTTCATGGGAGCTGTGATCCTCTTCCTTCTCTTCCTCATCCTCCTCAGACTCGCTCTCCCTTAAGTGGCTTCTATCCTTCACCCCCATGTGTTCTGGGGACCGGTGGCTAATCTCTTCCTTAATGGACCCTCTGTGGCCAGTCCCCTCATCTCTGTGGTCTTGCTGCCTATGGCTGGGAGCCTGGTGGCCAAGCCTGGCAGAGATGTCCTCATCTTCCTCCTTGGGGACTCCATGGTGGTCACGGCCAGGGACTGCTTTTTTATAATCTTCTGGGAAGTCCTCCCCCTTAGCGCTCTTGTGGCCTTGGGGTTGGTGGCTTGCAACAGGGTGGCTGAACTTGACTGTGATCTCCTCCTCCTCCTCCTCTTCGTCTCCAAGGCCATGGTGGGTATGTCTGGGAGCCTGGTGCCAGTGTTCAGTGGACACATCCTCATCCTCGTCACCACCGTGATGGTGATGATGTTCCTCTGAGACAGCTTCATCCTCCTCCTTCCCATGATCTCGGTGCCTGTGAACTTGATGTCTGTGCTCAGTGGAGACAATATCATCGTCATCTTCTTCATCATCATCTTCTTCTTCGTAGCCCCCATATCTGTGGCTGGGGCCATGGTGGTGATGTTCCTCTGAGTCATCTTCATCCTCCTCCTCCCCGTGATCTCGGTGTCTGTGGACTTGATGTCTGTGCTCAGTGGAGACAATATCATCATCGTCTTCATCATCATCATCTTCTTCTTCGTGGCCCTGGTGTCTGTGGCTGGGGCTGTGATGGTGGGGATGTTCCTCTGAGAGAGCCTCCTCCTGCTCCTCCCCATGATCTCGGTGCCTGTGGACTTGATGTCTGCGCTCGGCGGAGACAACATCGCCGCCGTCATCATCATCTTCTTCGTGTCCCCCATGTCTGTGGCTGGGGCCATGGTCGTGGTCATGTTCCTCTGAGTCATCTTCATCCTCCTCCTTCCCATGGTCCTGGTGTCTGTGGACCTGGTGTCCATACTCAGTGGGGACATTCTCCTCTTCCTCGTCTTCATCTTCCTCTTCTCTGCGGCCTTGGTGGACATGCCTGACGATGTGATGATGGTGATGCTCACTGGACACAACTTCCTCCTCCTCCTCGTCTTGATGGCTCTGGCTCCCGTGGCTGGGGAAGTGGTCCCTGCGCTCAGCTGAATCATCCGCGTCTTCATTTCCGTGGTGTCTGTGTCTGTGGGCCTGCTGAGCATGCTCGGGGTATTCCTCCTCGTCAGAGACGTTCTCGTCTCCCACCTCGTGGCCTTGGTACCTATGGCCTTGGGACTCTCTGAAGATATCTTCGTCCTCTTCTCCGTGGTCTCCGTGGCCCCAGAGATGATGCCCGCTCTCTGTGGAAACATCCCTGTTCTCATCTCCATGGCCTCCGTGGCTGTGCGTCGGGTGGTCAGACTTGCCCGACACGTCCTCTGAGGGCCCCGGAACTCCTGCATGGTCGTCCCAGTTGCTGGGGCCGGGCCCAGCCCCTCTCAGCTGCTGGGTCACGGCGGGGGGGAGGAGCAGGCTGGCCACTGCGGCCCAGAGGACAGAAGTGTGCAGCCATGGCCCGCAGGGGCCCATGGGGACGGGCCGCAGAGCTGCTCCCAGGGCTGGCTCCCACTGCGGCTGTGGCTGCGAGGATGGATGTTGGGCTCCTTGTCCCTTTGGGGCTCCTTCCCTTTCTGACTCCCTGTGTCGTTCCTTTGCTGTGTCCCCCCCCCGTCTCTGCCCTCTGGTCCTCACAGTCAGCCTCAGGACACCCCTCTGAGGCTGTCTTCAGAGTCCTCTGACCCCCCTCGCTGGTCCTCCCTCCCACTTCCCAGCCAATAGGGTCTCTCCCCTCCCCTCTCTGTGGCTAAATTTACTTTGGGCCCTGAGTTATTCTGGGTCGGTCCCCTCCTGCCCCTCCCCTCCTGCGCCTCCTCCTCTCAGCTGGGAAGGGGGTGGATGAAGGGGTCTCTTTGGCCAGGAGAGAGGAGTCAGGGCTCTCTGACTTTGGGCTGCCAACGCGTTCATGCTTGGTAGCTGCCAAGACAATGGCTAGATTTTTAGTCGGCCAGTGTGGGGGAGCCTGGACCCCGGGGGAGGGGAGCAGGAGGGATGTATGTGAAGGGAGAGACCCCTGCCAAGGAAGGACTGGGGGGTTAGATTCCCAGGAGTTTCTTGCCAGAATGGGCTACTCTGCTGAGATGGTGGATGCCAGCATGGAGGCCCTGGTGAGGGGTGAGAGGAATCCTGCTGCAGCACACATACCCGTGACCTCCCGTCCCTGGGACTCAGATCTGGGGGCAGGGGATGGGGCCAGGCCAGGGCTATAAATGTGGTACGGGGAGGGGGGCGGGGGGCTCAGGTTACCCAGGCGGCCACAGCTGTCCCTGTCAGAGAGCTGGCAGGGGACACGTGGCCCTGCCCGTCCGCCTACCCACACCTCCCACTGCTCATCCCAGCACTGCTGCTCCAGCTCTTTGGGGTCCCATCCTTCTTCACGGGTCTTCCTCTCTCCACCGTTGTTTCTTCACCTGCTCTCTCAGGATCCCTGTCCCCCATCCTGAGGGTTCTGTCCCCTTCTGCTCACTCTTGAGTGTGTCTGCATGCCCCCACCCTATCCAAGCCTTTCTCACTGTCTCTGTGGGTCATGTAGCCCGCCACCCATCCAATTCTCTGCCCCCACCTAAGTCTTTGTGTCCCCCCAACACTTTGTCAGTGTTGTCAGCGGACCCTCTGCCTCGTCGCTGCCATTTCCTCTCTGGGTCTCCATCCTCCCTCTCTCTGGACTCTGTCTCTCACTCTCTGGGCCCCGTCCCCCTCTCCCTGGGTCCCCGTCCCCTTCTCCCTGGGTCCCCGTCCCCCTCTCTGTGGGCCCCGTCCCCCTCTCCCTGGATCCCCGTCCCCCTCTCCCTGGGTCCCCGTCCCCCTCTCTCTGGGCCCCGTCCCCCTCTCTCTGGGTCCCCGTCCCCCTCTCTCTGGTCCCCGTCCCCCTCTCCCTGGGTCCCCGTCCCCCTCTCCCTGGGTCCCCGTCCCCCTCTCTCTGGTCCCCGTCCCCCTCTCCCTGGGTCCCCGTCCCCCTCTCTCTGGGCCCCGTCCCCCTCTCTCTGGGTCCCCGTCCCCCTCTCCCTGGGTCCCCGTCCCCCTCTCTCTGGTCCCCGTCCCCCTCTCCCTGGGTCCCCGTCCCCCTCTCTCTGGGCCCCGTCCCCCTCTCCCTGGATCCCCGTCCCCCTCTCCCTGGGTCCCCGTCCCCCTCTCTCTGGGCCCCGTCCCCCTCTCTCTGGGTCCCCGTCCCCCTCTCTCTGGTCCCCGTCCCCCTCTCCCTGGGTCCCCGTCCCCCTCTCCCTGGGTCCCCGTCCCCCTCTCTCTGGTCCCCGTCCCCCTCTCCCTGGGTCCCCGTCCCCCTCTCTCTGGGCCCCGTCCCCCTCTCTCTGGGTCCCCGTCCCCCTCTCTCTGGGCCCCGTCCCCCTCTCTCTGGGTCCCCGTCCCCCTCTCTCTGGGTCCCCGTCCCCCTCTCTCTGGTCCCCGTCCCCCTCTCCCTGGGTCCCCGTCCCCCTCTCCCTGGGTCCCCGTCCCCCTCTCTCTGGTCCCCGCCCCCCTCTCCCTGGGTCCCCGTCCCCCTCTCTCTGGGTCCCCGTCCCCCTCTCCCTGGGTCCCCGTCCCCCTCTCTCTGGGCCCCGTCCCCCTCTCTCTGGGTCCCCGTCCCCCTCTCCCTGGGTCCCCGTCCCCCTCTCTCTGGTCCCCGTCCCCCTCTCCCTGGGTCCCCGTCCCCCTCTCCCTGGGCCCCGTCCCCCTCTCCCTGGGTCCCCGTCCCCCTCTCCCTGGGTCCCCGTCCCCCTCTCTCTGGTCCCCGTCCCCCTCTCCCTGGGTCCCCGTCCCCCTCTCTCTGGGCCCCGTCCCCCTCTCTCTGGGTCCCCGTCCCCCTCTCCCTGGGTCCCCGTCCCCCTCTCTCTGGTCCCCGTCCCCCTCTCCCTGGGTCCCCGTCCCCCTCTCTCTGGGCCCCGTCCCCCTCTCTCTGGGCCCCGTCCCCCTCTCCCTGGGTCCCCGTCCCCCTCTCTCTGGGTCCCCGTCCCCCTCTCCCTGGGTCCCCGTCCCCCTCTCTCTGGGCCCCGTCCCCCTCTCTCTGGGCCCCGTCCCCCTCTCCCTGGGTCCCCGTCCCCCTCTCTCTGGGCCCCGTCCCCCTCTCTCTGGGTCCCCGTCCCCCTCTCCCTGGGTCCCCGTCCCCCTCTCTCTGGGCCCCGTCCCCCTCTCTCTGGGCCCCGTCCCCCTCTCTCTGGTCCCTGACCCCTTTTCCCGAGTTCTGTTCCATCCTCGGCCCCGCCTCCCGCTCTACGCATCTCCTTTGCTCCCCGCCCCACAGACCTGGTCCCGCCCCGGGCTGGGCGGGGAGGCGGCGGATCCGGTCTGTCCCGGGCACTTCTGGAGCTCCGGGTTGGTGGAGGGGGTGCTTGCTGTCAGGTCGCTGTGGCCGCGGCAGCATGGTGGGTGCGGAGAAGGAGCAGGTACAGCGCCGGACCCGGGTCTGAGGAACTGGGAGCCTGGGCCAGGCCTCCTTGCTCGCAGGGAGGAGGGCGCTTGAGACCTAGATTCTCGGGCCAGACAAAGGAGGGGGGTTGCTGGAGGCCGGGACCCCTGGGTCCCTGGGGACGGATAGAAGGAGGAGGCCGGGGGTGGGGTCGAGCCTCCGGAGTCCGGGAGACGATGACGCTGGGGTCCTGGACTCCCGGATCTCCCGCTAGGGCGCGGGCGGGTCACTCCGTGTCCGCAGGACTGAGCTGGATCCCCTCACCCCTTGTTCCTGACCCCCAGAGCTGGATTCCCAAGATCTTCAAGAAGAAGACGTGCACGACTTTCGTCGCTGACCCCACAGATTCGGGGTGAGGAGCTCGCCCAGGGGCCAGACCCTGGAGCGCCCCGGGCCCGCACACTGCAGACCCCGCCCTTCAGTCCTTTCAGTCCCGGGTCCTGTCACCGCGGACACTCCCAAGGGCGTTCCCCGGTGGCTCTGTATCTTGGGGAGGCCTTGGGTCAGTCTGCAAACACTTGCAGTGTTAAAGCCCCAGGGCAGGCTTCTGTTTCTTTCCTTCCGGGTATCCCTTCTGGGTGTCTGCCTCCTGGTGTCAGTTTCTCTTGTCTTTCTTTCTTGGCTGTCCCTGTCTCATTCATTCATCCCTTCCTTCATTCCTCCAAGAAACTCTCACTCAGCACTTCCAAGGGGGAGCACTGTGTTCAAGAGTACAGGCCCTGGCCAGGGTTCACATTCCAACTGAGACACAAATTTCAACTGAGGCGCTAGGTGGCTTCCGGCAAATCATTTTACTTTTCTGGGCATTGTACTCATCTATCCTCTGGGCATAAAAGCAGGCTCTATTTCCTGAAGCTATTGTGAGAGTTAAACAAGTTAATGCTTGCAGTATTTCTGAAACAGCACCCAGCGCTTAATAAGCCCTGGCAAATATGTCTGACTCCCACTGGAAGGTCGCAGTTACTAACTAGCGTGCGTAGACCCTTTGCTTGGGCGGGGTGACCGAGGGTGCAGAGTGGCCGCTCTTAGGAGCTCCCGGTCTTCAGTGATGGTCTCTCAAGGGGGCTCTGGCTTTCTGGTGTCCTTAAGACCATTCTTGGGGTATGGGAAATGTCAGTGTTCCTAATCTAGTGTGTGTTCTGTTATGACTATATTATATCAGTGCAGGATGGCTTGAATGATGTGTAAATATAAATACTATTTGGGGGTGAGTGCTCAGAAACTTTTACTGATGGGAAGGGTGGTCAAGGAAGTTTAGAAACCTCTGGTCTGGTGGGAGGAAGATGATTCTAAGGCAAGGAAGCGAGAGCTGCACGGGACACACCGCTGGTCCCTGGGGGAGCATCTGGTTAAGGCTGGGAGGGGACACAGGAAGACGGGCCAGTGAGGGGACATTTGAAGGTGACAGAGTTGGAGTTTGACAGCTGAAGGTGGGCTGGATTCCAGGAGCGGGAGCAGCAAGTGTAAATCGCCCCCTGTTGACATTGTGCATTGAAGAGAGGGCAGAGTTCAGGATGCCAGGGCCATCGGAGAGAGGAGACCAAGGAAGAGGGTGGGACCAGAAGTCGCAGGGCCTCAAATGCCACCCTGGGGTTGGGGACCAGGTCTGGGTGTCCCAGGGAGCCCTGGGAGGGGCAGGGTCAGCTCTGGGTGTGGAACTCCCTGGGGGCCACGTGAGGATGACTGGAAGTTTGGGAAGCTGGCGAAAAGGCTGGGCAAGGGTCAAGTGGGAGGAGAAGAGGCCCGAGGCGGGCGGGGCTGTGGGACGCAGAGAGGAGGGGTCAGGGCAAAGATTCACGGGGCAGGAGCCTGGGGGCCGATGGATTTGTGGAATGAGGGGCAAGCGGAGGATGGGCCCAGACATCTGGTCTGGGGCTTAGGAACCCCAGAGATGGGAACCCAGGAGCAGGAGTAGGTTTGGGAAAAGATACCAAGCTCAGAGTGGGGCTTCATGAGTGGAAGGGACCTGGGGGAACCAAAGGCATGGCAGACCTGGGTCAGGGACTCAGGACAGCTCTGCAACTTCCATCTTAGATTTGAGAAGTCCCAGCTGTAGATGGTAAGGGCACTG